CTGGGGGGATAAGTGGTGATGGTAAAAATAGAATAAAATACAGGGGGGAAAAAGGTTTTAGAACTGGAACTCTCACCAAGTGCCCATGGAAGAAACATCTTGAACTCGCTATTACTACTTAAGATTTTCAGAGGAATAAATCATTCATGAAATATTTTAGAAATAACAATGAATTACAGCAAATGCATTTTTGATATTTATTTATATTTTTTGCAAAAGAAAAAAAAATTTCGTTGTAACAGAGGCAAAATAAACACATAGAGGTATAGAGGTGAAAGAGAGAATCCAGTCCCATCCAGTCACCACGTGCAAAACCAAGTAGGTGACAGATATCAGCTTATCTGAAATAACCTAATGGGTGGGAAAGCCAGGAGTCTTCTGACTTGTAGTTTAGAGCTCTTTGTGGTTTTCCACGGTACCTTGTCAACTTTCTAAGGAATAAAAACCATGTGGAATAAATGGCACAATAAAGAACAAACTAAATCAGTGACCAGCTGTACAACACACTCACAATTACATAAAAAGAGGAAATGAGTTGAAATGTTAATGAGATTAAGATTTGAATTCCCTGGCTCGAAGGCTTGTCAGATGCTGAAATGTGTTCTTGGAGAAGTTTAAGGAATCTCCTTCCTTTGGGTGTATTAAAAAATAAAGTAAACAGTCATTTGTCTTAGACGGTTTAGGTACAGCCCTGCCAAGAATGGGAGGGTGGGCTCTGTAACCTCTGAAGGACTCTTTCAGGCCTGTATTTATAATAATTCAAACACACAAACGAATGATGAAATCAAGCCTGTTGCTATAAAAAGGCCACTGCAAAACTCACAGAGGGTAATTTCCCCAGCCATTTCTCATGAAATTCTGTAACTATTTAGGATTGTGGGAAATTTACCTTATTTCTAGTTTTTGTTGTTTTGTCTTATAGGAAAGGATAAGTTTCATTGAAACGACTCCTAAAAAACTTTGCAAACGCCTTGATAGAAATAAAATTTTCGTGCTGAGGAATGTTAGTATAGTCTACTAGCTCAGGCTCCATACTGCAGCATGTGGCAAAAATGGCAAATATGCAATTGACTTTAACCAGTAACAGTGTGTTTCTGCAACCAACAGGTTTCTCTGCTACCATGCCTACCTACTACAGAGGGAAAGGCATATGCAATGGACTAAGAGCACTTTCATGTGCTGTTTCTGGATGCAGGACTTGTGCTAAAGCCAAAGGAATTGATGCTGAAGGAAGACCTGCCATGCACCCTGACCGGAACAGACCAGTGGAGCATGTGTGTAGAGATGATGCCCCTCCTGTTAAATTTAATAGCACACGCAGACATCTGGCTCTCGATGAGCTTAAAGTAAGCTATGGGGAATGGAAAACAGTGGGATTGTTTTCAATATGGGACACATTAGATAAAAGATACACAACTAGTCCGGTTTCAGATTAAAACTGCTATAATGTTGGCAAAATCAGCACAATTAGTGCCATTTCCTAAGATATTATGAAAACAGATACACTCACTAGTCTCAGTACAAAAAGCACTAAATAGAATAGCTGATTTCACAGCTTGGAAATAATTTCAGGTAGTCTGGTCTCAGTGGTTAAAAAGTACTATAACTGCATGAAAATATATTTATGTTAGATTATTTGTGGAATTTACAAAAAAGCATGAATTCTTGATGGCTCCTTGTAGGATTAAAGGCCGGAAATAATTCAAGAAAGCAGAATGCTAATTTATTTCCAAATATTTTTCTTTCAGTTACTTTTCTTTACAGCTAAGTGAGTTAAATCAAGTTCAAAAGGATACCAGAATTTTAAAATTGAGAGGAAAAATGCAAAAACAATAGAGTATTTGTTTCTTAAAGAACATAAAGCAAATCTAATTACAGCCAAGGATATATATTACCAAAGCACATTTATTTTTTCTAACCTGTCTTTCATTTTCAGCTTTTTGTTTAGTCTGAGAAGAGAAAAGCTTTTACCCTTCAGATCCTCAGCTTTCTTAGATGTTCTCCCTAATTTGCTTTGTGGTTATGTTGCTTTGGAAGGGGTGTGTTGTGCCTGTTTCTCATCCTACGCATTATACTTGTTTAATTATCAAAATTAGAATTGCCATAGGGGTTATACTTGTTGAGACACTGGGGGATGTGTGATCTCTAAGAAAGTTCTCTGAGCTTAAGTTTAAAGAAAAGATACCACAGGAATCCAGATCATTTAAAAATTCAACTTTTGTTTGGGCACCTCAGAATGTGGTAGAACATACTCTGAATTTATACCAGGAGGAAAAATGTTAATGAACTACCCTCGTAATTGTAGGGAAAAGTACTTCATTCACTCTCTACTCCTCTTACCATCCTCACATTCTGCAACGTAAATCTGAAGGAAATTTACCTTTGGGGATACACATTCTTTAGGCTCCAATTAGACACTAGATGGCCAAGGTTACTACTACAAAGACAGGAATATAATGTATAGAAATAATACTAACAGTGGAACGAAGATTGGAAAGTAATTTCAGATTGAAAACCTGTTTTAATTTTACAGTAGCTTGCCACATATATATATTTCAAATGCTAAACACACACACATTCTCAAACATACGCACTTTCTAGCTAGCCATCTGAATTTTACAACAAATGAAAGATCTGTTTTTTTCAGACTAAAAGGGTGGTGTGGAAGTATCTTAGCCAATTATTCATAATAGCGACGCACATCTCTGTAAGTCCTAGAAAACATCAACTCCTTAACATGCAGAAACGGAAGGAGCCAATCCCAATTTTCACTGCTGACTGAAACCCAGTAAATACCAATGTCACCCCTCTGTCTGCTTGCTGATGACTGAAGGAGCTATTGTGTCACATACTTTGATTGATGAACCATTCTCTAAAGATATTTGAGATTGGCACATTCCAGGTCTCCATTAAGCATAAAAGTGGCCCATGAAGGGAAGGAGTTGGAGTCCCTAGGGGTATTTCAGACCCATTTTCTCCCTCAGAAAGAGCACGCCAGCAAAACTGGAAGTGTGACATAGACCCATGTCAAATGCAGAAGAAACAGGAAAGAGATGCACAGAAAGGCCTTTAGTCGTCTCCTGGGGCTTTTCAGCTTAATGAGACATGTATGGTATCCATGTTGCAACAAGTGGCCTCTTTATTATAAAATTATAACTTATTGAAATTATTTGTGATAATTTCATTTGTTTTTGGCAAACTTAAAAAAAGGAGTCAACACATGGCCCAGAGGTTAAAAAAAAAAGTAATATATTTGAATAGGAGTGAATTATTTGGAAGTGAGGTGGGACTTAGAAGAAAATGCCAACACTAGACAGATATTTTGAGGGGCTACAGAAGAAACAAATTCATTATTCCATGAACCAAGGCCCTGAGAAAAAGCTTGAAGGAGTTCTAAACTCAAAGGTACACCAGAATGTGGGACAGCAAGTGTAATCTATGAATGGGGTCCAATGGGCCCCAACTTCATTCTGGGGGCCATTAGCTTCAGACATTCCCTTTTGTACCTTATAGCTGCAGCAAAGATTAAAAAACACACCCAAAACTTAAATTTTGTCTAAGTTTATGTTTAGTTTAACTTTTTCTTCTCAAATAGCCTTTAATTCATAGACATAGTATTGACTACAAAATGCTGACTGTAAGTGTATGCTGATGATAAATGTAATTAAAAAGCAATAAAACCAAGGCTTTGAGCAAAATAGCTCAACAGAGCTTCTTGAACAGATGCTTGCTTTAGGGAGGAGATTACATCTTCCCAGTTACAAAGCTGCTCTCCGTAGTCACGTTCCTCGGGGTACACCATAGAACCCACACCCTACGTGATTAATGTATGCACTTTAATTTCTCACACCTTAAAAAAGGAAAATTAGTTAAATATAGAGCAGAAAGGGAGAATCTGATTTGACTTAATCTTGTAATATCATTTCTATTGTTCATAGCTCTTTACTGTCAAAAACTTCCCTTACCTGTCCTCAACGATCTTAGGACTTAAACACAGTTATATCAGAGCAGAAATCATCGATAAAATGTCTCACCATACACTCTGAGGTCTATGTCCCTTTGCTTCTCCCCAGCAGCATTCACTGCCACGCAGGTGTATCTCCCGGTATCACCGATCTGGGCGCTGGTCAAAGCCAGGATGCGGCCCCCAGACAGAACCTTTCAAAGACAAGAAAGCTAAATAGCCAACACGGCCCCTGAGAAGAACAGATGTAAACAGACCTTTTCTCTTATTTTCTGAGGTTAATCAATGGACATTGGTCTCTAGAAGGATTTCCACTTGGATATTTTAAAGTGTGTAAGCATCACTTAATCCCCATCTCATCTTCTCTGTGGAGGAAAACTCAGAGGCCAGAACCCAATGTGGTAATAACCACTGAAAACAAGTCTGTCTCCACAGCATCAAGGAAGGTCGAATTTTACCCACGCTTACTACAGAGAAAGAGGAAGCCACCAGGGGAGAAATAGGAGCAGAGGTGGGAATAAGAGGAGCTAATTCTCCTTCTAATTTCTCCCTGGGAAAACAAGTAAGAAGTTAAAATCAATAGCAAAGTAGCAGCCAAATAAATTAATGAGTCACATTCATTGCTTTTTTTTTTATCCCAATGATCCAGTTGTACCTCTAAAATATTGACCTTAACTCTACAACTTTTATGATCCCAAATTCTGCAAGCATTGGAATTTTAAGAAAAGCTGAAGACTTAGAATGGTAGGAGAACTATGTTCTCTGCTAAACGAAGTAAAATTAAACTACACTTTAAATGAGATATACATGTTTTGGTATTTTAAATTCTGAATCAGTATAAAGCATACATTTTTTTCAGACTCTATTTCTTATAATGTTGCCTTTATGGTGTCTTACTTTTTTATTTGATGACTTTGTAGAAGAAAATATACTCTATATGGTTTTCTGATTCATTATTATTTCCACACATTTAAATATAAATTCTACCAGGAAATTCCTGTTTATTGGTGTTGATGAACATTTATTTGTGTACAGTATCTCTTGTGGAAGTACCAGGGAATGGAAGCGGGGAGGTAGAAAGTATCTAAAATAGAGCACTACATATGATACAAGGGAACTCTTAGATATACTGAGTTTTTAACGAATTGTTCAGAAATCCCAATTGTGTGTCCATGGTATTTATGAATGTATATGTCTATGGTTTTGGATAACATTTGTGAATCCTTGTTCGCCAAATCTCTTTAACAGCTTTACCTATCTGTACTTCCTGTATTGAATAATCGGGTAGTAGATTTCACCAAAGGAAAGACAGAGTACCTGTATCCCATTAGCAAAACCAGACACAGGGCTCCCATCTTTCAACCAGGTCAGACTTGGGGCAGGGATGCCTCTGGCTTCACATTCTAGCCTCACCAGGTTATTCACCACCACCGCCACCACATTACTGCTGCCAGAAATGGATGGGGGCACTGAAAAGGAATAAAAAATAAAGAAAATAAGATGTGTTAACATCACGAAAGATTTCACCTCAAAATAATGAAAACTATATGTAATGTCCACAGTAGTGTTTTTACATTGCGGGTTTTGGGTATATATTTTTTGGTAAGTTCTTTCCCTTTCTTATTTGGGGTTCTAATCGCATCTATCTAGTGAGGTAAGTAGGGCACTGATCAATTTCTCCATCTTACAGATGAGGGAAATAAGGTTTCGTTACTTTGTTTAGGAAATCCAGTCTTTGACACCAGAGTATATTTTTATTTCTTGGTTTCCAGGCTTGTGTGTGTGTGTGTGTGTGTGTGTGTGTGTGTGTGTGTGTGACTGGTGTCCCACCACAGTATCCACTCTAGTGTGTTAACTACCAACTCTTCTTAAAAGCATTGAGATAGTAAGTTGGACACATTTGTTTAAAAATATGATTCTGATAGACAGTACTGTATTTACAAATAGGGCTATTGTCACGGCTGATATGATTGGTTGATAACTATTTCAACAATTTATATAAAGCTAACAAGCTCAACATCAAGTGAAAATAGAGCATTTTAATAAGAATTAGGAAATAAAAACGTTTATCAGCTTTAGAACACTGTACTCTTCTGTAAAGACGATACTAACATACTCCGTTAAATATTTACACTAGAATTTTATAGAAGGACTTAGTCATTTTGAATGTTTCTTTACCCCAGGGTAAATCTAGGAGAAGCAGCACTAACCATGGACCTGAAGGCTGTAGTATAATTCTGTAGCTCCAGCTGAGTTGATGGCCACACATTTATAGATGCCAGCATCTGCGATCTGGGCACTTTCGATATCAATGATCTGTCCTCTGTTCAAGAAAGTCACACTGGTGGAACCTGAGAGCGGACGGTTATCTTTGTACCATGTAATAACTGCAAGGGGAAGAGGAGAGAAGCCCATCTATTTAATTTTTTTTCTTGTAAAAGCTCAACACATACACTAAACTGGACCTTAACTAAAATAGTAACAATTGCTTTATTCTTGAGCTATCATTTCAGTTTAATCTGTTTAAATTTCTCTGTAGAGTTGAGTTTTACGAGGAAGTAACCTTAACAAGAGCATGAGTAGTCAAACCAGCAAAAGAGTCCTGAAATGAATTTATAAAAAATATTTACTTTCTCTCTAATGTATCAATATTGTTTGGTAGCAAAATTTTAACTGGTTCTATTTCCATTTTGTTGTACATATTCCTCTCTTCTACAAAAACGTTCTCTTCACATCTAATCAAAATCAAACATATATCCACTATTAGCCTCAAAAATGTGTATGATTATTGATTCGTAGGAATAACTTACCAGTGATGAGAATTAACGAAGTAATAGTCTCATCAAATGATTTTATGTATAAAGATAACCAATATAGACTAGATAAAAATATAATTTTTCAACATAAATGTATATGAAATGTCATTGTGTGTTTTGTGGCCACAGTAAGGACAAGACAATTAATTATTCACTGAAAGCAGTGAAAATTTGAAAATACCATCTACCCAATGATATCCTTTTACCCTTGAAATGTATCTATAATCTCTCCTTTATTAGTAATTACTGTATTATGCTCACAAACAGATTTAGCTTTTCCCAGAAATCTTAAAATGTTGATAAATTACAGAGTCCACAAGGAGGCATACCAGGCAAGGGATTTCCAGCGGCCTTACACTCCAGTTGTGCAGGGTTGTTCACCACCACGGTCTCATTCAGCATCTTCCCTGCACCCTCCAGGCTGGGTGGCTCTGCAAGAAGGCCAGACAGGTCACCAATTCACATAAGTAGGACAGTTAAAGTGGAATTGTTTGCTCAGTGGGAATTACAATTTCTTCCATATATATAATGTATATGTATTATATACACACACATATATATATAAATTTAGAATAAAACTAAAGCATACCGTTAAGTAGAATTTAAGAACAAGATGGAAAAAGGATCTTAATAGGTTTTCTAGATCAAGCATTTCTCTGTGCTCAGGTAGGAAAATCCTTAGAACTGTAGATTAGCTGAGTAGTGAAAAATGTTAAAGAGAACTTGTTTTTATCCCAATAAATTTGATCAGCCCAATGATGAAGTGCCTTCACCAAGAAGAAATCGATGGCATTGGAACTCCTGCAGTGAAGGAGAAATCAACATTTCCTGAAACTAGCTGACCTTATCTTTGAATAGTACTCTTTTTAAACCGCTTCAGAGAAATTCAAATCATATTCTTATTTATACCAGGTTTTTCTTTTGATATAAAAGTTGCAATTAAATTGTCGGTAACATAAAACAGAAGACCACCTTTTAACTTGAAATAAGCATAGAAAATACTTCTCTATTATTAAATGTGGCCATTCAGGAAGTCTGAGAGGCCCGGTGTAAAAGGAATGATGACCTGGAACAGCAACACCCAAAGGGTGTGTAAGAGATGCCGGGATGAAGAAGGGACAAGTAAACTAGAGGCCTTGTTTTATAGAGAGAAATGCTGTAGAGAGAAGTTCATATTTGAAGTTAATCAAGCTACATTTTAAAGATTTGCTAAATTTAGCTCATTCGATGCACTTGAGCCCCTCAACCCCACCTCAAATACAATCAAGCAATTAATCTACTAGTTTAGCAAAACCAGAAAAGGAGGAAAGAAGGGGAACAATAAAATGATTAAGCCTAAATAAGATGGCAAAAATAAAATTAAATATTTAAATCAAGAACATAAATATGAGTGAGTTCATTTTCTTGTTCAACAGGCAAAGGGTTATAGTAACACTGAGGGTTGACACGGATTTTTAAAGTAAAAGTGGATAAAAAGAACAGATTTAAAAACCGACAAAAAAGTTCACAATAAAGAGCCCAAGAAAGGTATACCAAGACAACAGGTGCCATCAATTTCTGACAAACTGGTATACAAAGCAAAAATCATTAAACACTAGGGCAGCATGCTTTCTAGTGATTAAACTGTTACAATTTATGAAGAATCCATTATAGTGACAATGCTCTACGCACTGACTAACAAAGAAAAATTGTTAGAAAGCAGAGATGATGTGAAAGATCTAAAAGTAGTATATTTTAGTACATCTTTTTCAGAAATGGACTATGTAGTGAAATATAGTTATAAAGAACTTGAAAAATAAGATTACCCACCCAGATGTATGTATGTATGTATGCATGTGTATTTACAGTTAACAAAGAACATATATTCTTTTCAAATGCCCATAGAATATTTTCAAAATAAACTATATATTAGGCCATAAAATGTCAATAAAGCATTTACACCACAACAAAACTATAATAAAATGTCTAGAAATAAAAAATAAAGATATAAAGCTTTCTACATGAAGAAAAAAGTCATTAAAGAGAAAATCAAAATAAAGTATAAAATTATAAAAAATAAAAATAAAAATGAGATTGATTAAAATTAAAATCTATGGAATGTCGCCAAGCAGTAGAATGCTCAAAGAAAATTTTACAGCCCTAATTAATATATTAAAAACTAATTAATAATGAAAATAAATGTCCTAAGCATTCAACTCAGATTCTAGGAAAAGGCCAATTAGATAAACCAGAAGAAGCCAGGAATAAAGAAACATTAATCCTCAAAGCAGAAGACAACCCCAAAGAAAACAAGAAAAACAACAAAAAAGGTAATGAAATTCAAAGCTGGCTTTTCACAAGTTTAAAATAAAGTCTGTCCTCAGAAGTAGGTGTCTGTCTGGATCAGATCTCTGTTTTTCTGGAAGTTATTCCTAAAGACAAAGCTCAGAACCCACTCCTCTTTCACACCTGTAGTTCTTTTCTATCCATCCAATTCAATGGATTAACCCTCCCCTCCCCCTTCCCTTGTTTTTGGTTTAAAATGGTTAGAATGTTTCTTTTTTCTCTACTGAATTCTGATTTATGATATAGCATTTAAGGGCAAAGGCCTTTAGAAATGGCTATCTGACTTTTTTCAACTGGAAAGAAAAAATAATTAGTCTATGGCACATTCCTTCAAAAACAGTTATTTAAATACTCACTTAAAGCCTTCTGGGCTGAAGTGATCACTGAAGGCCTTGGCAGACCACGCAGCTGCCCCCAAAAAACAATATGGTGGGAACAAGAAAGGAGAGAGCTATGGAGTGGGTTGGTCATTTCTCACTCCACTAGAGGACTTAAAGAAAAAAGATTAGATGTCAGCAAGAACGGCAGAGTAAGGACTCCAAAAATCCACTCCTCCATTAAACACACACACACACACACACACGAGCACTATAATTGTCAAAATCAACTTTTTCAGATCTCTGGATTAGTAATCAAGAACTTCCCACAAAGGAAACGCCAGGCACACATGACTTGACTGGTGAATTCTACCAAACATTTAAAAAGAATTAACATGAACCCTTCAAGAACACTTTCAAAATATAGCAGAGAGGAAACACTTCTCAAATAATTCTAAGAGGATAGTTTTACCATGATAACAAAACCAGACAGAGACTGCCAATAAAAAGACACTACAGACCAATGTGCCTTATGAAGACATGCACAAAAATAGTCAGCAAAATACCAGTAAGGTGAACCTAGCAGCACATAAAACAGATTACGCACCATGAATAAGAAACACTTATCCCAGGAAGGCAGGGTTGGTTTAACATGAAAATCAATCAGCTTAATCAGGACAGTGTGGCACTTTCAAAGTGAATTCAAGACTTAAATTTAAGACCTAAAACCACAGAGCTCCTAAGAGAAAACATAGGGACAAAGCTCTTAACATTGGTCTTGGCAAGGATTTTTGGGGTATGACACCAAAAGCACAAACAACAAAAGCGAACTAAGCAAGTGGGACTACATCAAACTAAAAGGCTTCTGCATGGAAGGGAAACCGTCAACAGAATGAAAAATCAACCTACGAAATGGGAGAAAAAATTTGCAAACCATACATCCGATCTGATAAGGGGTTCATATCCAAAATATATAAAAAACTTGCACAACTCAATTGCAAAATATCAAATAATCTGATTAAGTAATCGCCAAAGAATCTGAATAGACATTTTTTCAAAGAAGACATACAAATGGCCAACAGGTACATGCAAAGGTGCCCAACATCGCTTATTATCAGGAAGATGCAAATCAAAATCACAATGAGGTATCACCCAACACCTGTTAGGATGGCCATGGTAAAAATACAAGAGATAACAAGTGTCAACAAGGATGTGGAGAAAAGAGAACCCCTGTGCGCTGTTATTGGAATGTGAATTGATACAGCAACTATGAAAAACATTATACAGGTTCCTCAAAAAATGAAAATTACGACCATATGCTCCAGCAATCATACTTCTGGGTATATATCGGAAGGAAATAAAATCAGTATCTCAAAGAGATATCTGCACTCCCGTGTGCATTTCAGCATTATTCACAATAGCCAAGATATAGAAATAACCCAAGTGTCCCATCAACACATGAATGGATAAAAGATGTCACACACACACACACACACAGAGGAATATGATTCAGCTATGAAAAAGAAGGAAATCCTGCCACTTCACACAACATGGATGAGCCTATAGGACATTATGTTAAGTGAAAGGAGCCAGACAGAGAAAGACAAATACTATATGATGTCACATATGTGGAAAAGTTAAACTCATGGAAACAGGTAGAATGGTGGTTACCAGGGGCTGAGGGATGGGGGAAATGGAGAGATGCTGGTCAAAGGGTACAAGCCTTCATTTATAAAATGAATAAACTCTGAGGATCTCATGAACAGCATGGCAATAATACGGGCAGAGAGCAGATCTTAAGTGTTTCACCACACACACACACACACGCACACACACACACACACACACATAGAGGTAACTACCTGAGGTGAGGGATGTGTTAAGGAATCTGACTGTAGTAATCATTTCACAAAGCATACATATATCAAATCATCACACTTTAAATATGTATAATTTTATTTGACAATTATGCCTCAATAAAGCTGGGGGGGAAATGAATAAAAAAAACAGTGTAGTACAGGCATAACTATAGACATTTAAGCAATAGGACAGATTTGAGATTACAGAAATAAACACTTACATTTAAAGTCAAATAATTTCCAAAAAGAGTGCCAAGTCCATTCAGCAGGGGGAAAAATAGTCTTCTCAACACATGGTGCTGGGACATTTTTAGGTAAAATGTAAATACAAATATAAATTCAATTATTCCCTTGGAGGGTTTAAAAGGATAGTCTTGCAATTTGAATTCAGTGGAACACTTTTCTAGACAGAAGCATTAGTAAGGTAACATTATGTTATGTTACAAATGAGAAAATGTCTGCATTCTCCAAGCAGGAGGTTGAATTCCATTCACATTGTTGGTTTTTTCCACTATCTTCCTTCTTCCAAAACCGTATCACGCCAAAACCACAGTACCTTCTTCTGGACACATCGGAGGCTAGATTCTGCCTATTATTTCAATCACTCAAAGGCATGAATTGACTTTTTCAAGTCTTGGTTAAATTTGAATTAATACATAACTGATCTAAAAGTAATATGGATGAGTTAACCCTCCTTAACCACCAAAATTACGATAGAGTAATAAATTCATCTACACTGAAAAAACAGAACAGTAGAGTCCTGAACTAAAGTGACGCATTAAGAAAAAAAATGTTCCCCCTACAATATTCCCAAGTCTCTTTGAGGCCACAAGTGAGTTAGTAAGTAAAACACAGAAACGATAGAGAAGCCTTTTTTAAGTGGGTGTTAGCAGATGTTAGCCAAGCAAATACTTTAAAATAATAAAATTAAATGAAGGGGTGCTCCATTAATGTTTTCACCAGACAACTAATACAGCTCCCAGACTGTTCCTGGCCAACAGTAAAGGGCTTTAGATATATTTGTTAAAACGTTGGTGCGGTGAGAGGGGCAAAAAGCCAAATATGTGTTTGGCCCAAACAGTGGTTCGGCTACCATTTACAGATGACGAATAGGAACCAAACGCCAGGCTGAGCTTTTCATGCATAGTCTTTCATTTAATCTTCACAACAACCTCCCTGATTATGGCATTTTCATTAATTCTGTTACTGTATATTAAAAGGAATATTGAAAAATCTATAAGGAAGCAGCTATCCTTTAATTTAGTTCATTTATTAATTTACTTAAGCAATTCTATAGTTGCCTTTTCAGTTAGGATTTGTTTTTATCCCAACCTTTATTTTTGGGGTAACACATTCAGCAAATGAGCCTTTATGACAATTGTCATCCAATTTTACAGATGAGGAAACTGAACTCTCAAACATTTAACATCGAAAAGCACTGTTCTACAGATATCACTTGGCAGTCTATGAACCCAATTCAAAGCCCATGCTTTTATCCACAACATTAGACTTCTGGGTGTTTTACCACAGCTGATTTTTCCTAGGAAATAATTAAGTGCAGATGAAATAAATGCTTGAGCCATTAGACCCCATATTATCGTTTGTGTGTGGAAACATCTGTCTTACTTGGCAAATACCTGAGGGTTAGATAGAATTTCACAGCTTGGTCTAGAGAATTAGAACTTCCAAAATTAGGAAACCTTGATGAACAAAAGGACCACCTACTGAGAGTCGCTGCCTTCTGTACTGCAGAGAACGCTCCTGAAAAACCCAGGGGGTCATGAGAACGTCCCTTTTCTCATGATCATGTCTTGGTCTTCCAGTCCAGGAGGCCATGCACCCTTACTTCACCTTTTAGAAAGACTTTTTTCCATGCTTGAGAAGAACAGAAGCGTCTACGATCTTTTTTATAAGAAAGATATTAAACAACTGGGAGGCTGAGTTTGTTAGGACTGAACACTTTTGGATGACATTTGTCATAAATGCTCTTTTGCTGAATGTGTTACCTCCCAAACAAAGGTTAGGATAAAGGCAAACCCCAACTGAAAAGGCAACTATAGAATTGCTTAAATAGATTAATAAATGAACTAAATTAAAGGCTATCTGCTTCCTTACAGATTTTTCAATATCCCTTTTAATATACAGTAACAGAATTAGATATATTACTTTGGAAGCATTCCAGGAGGAAGAGTATAATAGAATCAATTCTCCTTTTTCATACCATAAGCTTCTATTACTGACATCTAAGATTGATTAACTTTATTACGAAACTGAATTGCCATATGTACGATAATTGAAGAAAGCCATTAATACATCTATTATTTCAATGCATGGTGTCTTTAAGCCCCTCTTCTCCACCCTGTTCTTACGCGGTTTCCCACATCAGATTAACTTGTCATTTTAACCTCTGAGATCTTTTTGAGATCTGTCATCAACTAATCCCTTAGAAATTCCTACCCTTCTTTAGTATCTCCAATTCTCACTGAAGTTCATAATACAAGTGACAGATCTGAAGAAGACAGATCAGATTTAGGGTCATTTGTATTCAGCACAATATTGCTGTCATGAGTGCCGAGATGACATTCCAGCTTTCCGTCCAGATTCCTGTCACATTTACTTAGCCAACTACTTTCTCAAGATTGATCACAATAAGTATTAAATTAAAAGCTCACTTTATTATTGATTCCTCATTCAGGCTGATGGGCTGTGATCCAGACAAGTCAAGATGGTATTGAATGAAACATTTTTAGCTGGTACTGTACCTTACCTCTATTCTATTTGTGACTCACATCAAGAAGATGGTTTTATATTCTTCATCTGACTTGGTGGTTTTTAATAAATCCTTACAATGACTCACCTTCTGTTTCTTTCTTCTCACATTGACCCACATCTTCAAGCTTGGTCTGCCACTCCCTGATGATTTTCCATGTAACTGTGTGTACCCTAATTCCATCTCCTGCTAACAGACATTTTGTTACCATAATCAGACCCTAGGTTTATAGACTTATGTTTTCCTAGGCATTGACTCTTTTTTCTATTCTGTTATTGCTCTGGATTTGATGGGATGCTTGCTTTCTTTCCCGGACTTTGGTTATCAGTCATTCTTGACTACACTAGGGAGACTCTAGGCCAGTCTTCAGGGTTTGGGCCAATGTTGCTCCAAGTAACAGCACACAGACCACTTGCACCAGAGATACTGTTTCAGAAGATCTGGGGCTGGGCCCAGGAAGCTGTATCTTTAACATGCAATATGTACGATCTTTACGAACATTAAAGTTTGGGTACCCCAAACAATAAAGTTCAGTTCTTCCTGGTTCTGAAGACATACACTCTGTTCTTCACTACAGAGTCATCATTTAAGTATTTTTAAAGTCATTCTTGAGTACAAAAACATCTTTCTTTTTGATAAACTGAGAGAGTAGAAGTGGGAGATATTTTATACCTAACACCTCTAATCTTCAAAAGCATGCCACAAGTCAGGTAGTCATAGAAAATAAACGGTTTGTTCAGTTACTTAGATCGTGGTTAGCACAGAATTTACACCAAAGTGAGCTGGACCCCAGTGCATGAGATGACGCCACCGTAACAAGCTATCCCACCTAACTGCTTCCTCTTAGCCAATGGAGACCAGATAAGGAGTGAAATGTTGGAACAGAGAAGATCAACAGCCTATACAAGGAGGAGAAATGGAGCCTCAGGCTAGAAAAATGGGGAAAACAGAGCAAGCTCACCCCAACATACTCTTAGATGGAAGTGGAGGTCTGAGTCTGCTGGAGACGGCTGCCAACGAGCACTAGGGAGAGAGATTAGGCCTTACGAGGAACAAGGTAAATTCAAGGCAATTTAAGGGAGAGTAGGGTTAGCCTGTCACCAAAGCCTCAAGCATGGTGAGCCAATTCCAAGATGGTTACAATCAGACGCTGGTCTTTAAAGGTCCTCCTTCAGGAACATGGTTTGTGTGTATAACATCCATAGCTTAGGTGTTCATCTTTGGGAAACCGGGGGAAGAATAAATTGGTTTATTGGAAACATTTAGGGAACTGATGATTTGAATCTTTTAAAATAAAATAAAACATGTAAAGAAATAGATTAGAAGAATTCAATGTTCTAATTTTTTTACTTACTATTTACTCTTTCGTTTATTAAATATTTACCAACTGCCTACTATGTACCTGGAATTAAGGTAGGTGCTGGGTCATTCTTTTAGGTTAAATTGTTTAGTAAATGTGAAGTGAATGAATGAATGATTTAACAGCAATTAGATATTAGAGAAAATGAACAATGTTTGGTAGAGATCTTGAATAGCTCTCTGCAAATATCCTTGGATGATTTAGGCAAGTCCAAGTCTATATTTCTTGGCTCTTTCTGATGACCCTCCAGAGATCAAAGTCTTACATTCAAGGTCAGTAGTCTTTCAGGTTTACTCTGAAGCTGTACTATTCATGAGCCATACCACGGCCACCATGAGAGAAGATCCTGCCTCAAGGCTAGCTTCTACTCACAAAATCCCTCTTACAGGCAAGGAGATCACAGAACATCCTATGAACAACCTTGCAACTTCTGCCTTTTCAACAAAAGTTGTCTGCAGAAAGTTACCAACAGAATTCAAATACTTTCAAACACAGGGTAGTGTGTTTATTTATCAGCCCTGGCATATCCTATTTGTCAACCTGAAAACTAAAGATCTTAATACAAGCAATTATAATTACAATAATGTAAAAAAAAAAAAAAAACTACACTAAGTTTTTTAATACAGACTAAAATAAACACTTGTGGTTTTTTTTACAGTGTAATTCAATAAAAATGAGCCCCACTGTGTTTAAAAAAGAAAAGGCAAAGAAATATTCTTTTGTTAAGACATGGGAATGGCATTACCGTGCACATGCAGTTGAATGTGCTGCTGTGCTTCCCCAGCCGCATTGGTGGCCACACATGTGTACTTGCCAGCATCTTCCATCAGGGTTTTGGCAATTTGTAGAACGCGACCAGAAGACTGTATCTAATTGGGAGCAGAAAGCATGGCAGCATTTGGTACTTTACCCTTGGACTTGAAAACCTTTGTGGAGATAGACAAACTCACTTAACTTTGTAACATCTAATTATATTTTTATGCCAGTGTCTCAATTTTCTCTTAAACGATTAGAGCCAGATCACTTCATCATGCACAAGAAAAGAGACTTATTTGATTAAAAGGCTTTTCTTATTCATTGGAAAACACAAAATAACCTTAGGCCAGCCTGCTGGTAGAGTCATAAAACTCCACTGAATAAAAGACTTTAGCACTATGAGTTATGTGATTAAAATTTAAGCTATTCGAGAAAACATGGTCACATTTATATAACACTTCATAAATAGTTTTAAAACAACAATCTTTTTTGATTAAATGGTCATGGGGGCCAGAAAAAACAATAAAAATTATAAAGTGTAAGTCATGAAAATGCAGATAAATTTTTTCCTGTTTTTCCTAACTTCCCTCTTAAACTCAGTGCAACTGTCCTCCATCATTTTGGAAGCAGTGATTCAGTGGTTACTGTTTGAAACTGTTTCTCAGAGGCTACCAGCGACTTCCAATGACAATACCCAGATGCCCATGTAGGGAGCTCACACTGTCCTCTCATCATCTAGAGCACTTGGCGTTGCTGACTGACCACCTTTTCCTTGAGTCGCTCTACTTTCTGGGTATTGACGACAAGACACAGCATTTTCCCTCAGTTCTCATTCTCTGACTTCCTCAGTTGACTTGACAGAATCTGCTTCCTCCTCCTGTCCCATAAAGAGGAAACTTAATTTTCTGACCGTCTTCAGCCAAACCCTTGGCTTCAGTGAACAATCCTGTGCAGACACCTAAATTTACAGCATTGGCCTCCACTTCTCTCCTGAGCTCAGCACTTGTGGTTCCAGCTATCTGCTGGACAGGTTAGCACACAGCACTTAGCATGTCCAAAACAAAGCTTAGGACCGTTTCCTGTGTCTCTAACCCGACTTCCCACTGCATGTTTCCAATCTTGTTTAATGGCACCCGCTCTCTCTCCCAGTCGGCTGGGTTTTGGAGCCCACTATGACTCTCCTGTTAATTATACTACTCCATGTTTCTCAGATCCCCGATTTTCCATTCTCACAGCCACTGTGGGATTATAATAGCTTAATTTATATTCCAGTGTCTCCAACCTCCCAAACTGTTCATCTATCTTGCATACCGTTGCCAGAATAATTTGTCCACAATGAAAATTTGATCCTTTTACCAGTCCTCCCTCAAAGCTCGTTCATGGCTCCCTACTTTGCCCAGAATGAAATCCCAGCTCATCACAGCCCTCCAGGCATACCACATTCTGACCCCAAGTGATCTTCCCTCCATACGCTCCCACGTAAACTCCCCCATTCTCCAGCCATATGTACTAAACATGTTAAGCAGCACATTCACATGTCTATATTCACTTCTGGACTGTTGCACGTGGCCTTTAAATCCATAATTTCTTATGCCTCTGAACTGGGTCAGTTCTCTCTCCTATTTCTTACCCTTTATTCTCTCATTAAATAAACTCAACCGTGACCGCAGTTTCAAATATCATTTCTGTGTCAGCATCTCCAGCCAGAGCTCTCCTTTGAGTTCTAGGACCACATATTCAATGGTCTATCTGACATTTTCATTACTTTATTTCAAAGTCATCTCAACCCCCAAAGTCTAAAACTCAAATCACAGTTTTCCCCCCTCAAACTTGTCCTCCAGAGTCTCTTATCTCACTGAATGTCATGACAGTCTATGCATTTGTGTAGGTTAGGTTCCTATGAGTTTTCCTTGGTGCTTCCCTCTCTCTCACCTTTCATAAGCAATCTATCACTGAACCCTAATGATATACCCAATAAATAACTCTCAAATCTAATATGTACCCTCATCTCTACGGCCAAGATGTGAATCTAAATTTCTATCTTTTCTCTCTCTTACACAAATAAATCCTAATTGATTTCCACATATCTACTTTTTTAAAAAAAATATCTTTATTGATTTCAGAGAGAGGAAGGGAGAGGGGGAGAGAGACAGAAACATCAATGATGAGAGAGTCATTGATCGGCTGCCTCCTGCACTCCCCTTGCTGGGGATCGAGCCCTAAACCTGGGCATGTGCCCTGACCAGGAATCGAACCGAGATCTCCTGGGTCTCAGGTTGATGCTCAACCGCGGAGCCATGCCCGCTGGGCCACATATCTACTCTTGATCCTTCAACTCATTCTCCAAAAGGAGCCTGGGTAACTACTTAAAATGCAAACCTGATCATGTCTCTCCTCTCCTAAAACCCTTCGAAGAGCTCCCATTGCTTTGAAGTGGAAATAATATTAATATTACTTAAATGCCTCCTACCTGCGCTCTGGTCCCCCCTGATACCACCCCATCTCTGCTCTCTGTTCCTCACTCCACTGGTTGCTTCAGGTCCTCAGGAGGTGTCATCGTCTCCTTTCCTTTAGTTGTTTGCCTGTGAGCACACCCTTCCATTTCTGAAACACCCTTCCATTTCTCTTCCATTAATTCACCCAGTTAACTCCTACATATCCTTCAGATCTCTGCTCAAAGGCTTTCTCCACAAATTACTCTCATACTTAAAGGCTTCCCTCATTTTCTGTTGTCATACCTCTCTTTATTTTCTCTTAAAATTACTCATTACACTTTGCAATTATACTATTTATGATTATGTGGTAAATATCTATTTCCAGTAAACAGTTGTTTGCCTGCGCTGTGTGTGAAGGCTACATGCTGAATCTTTCACTCGCCAAAGTGTAAGACTTGTTCCACTGGATTTGGAATGGGAGTGATAAATGAACAAATATCCACCGTTCGTACTGAGAAAAGAACTCAGCATATACCTCCTTGTTGAAAACTTATTACAAGTGAAGTTCATGCGCACATTAATCAATTAACTTGAACCTAGTAGCAATATCTATTAATCTGGATTTTAAATGCATCTTTTAAATGACCTGGGTTTGAAATCTATGTATCTATCAATTTAACAAATATGTACTGAGATACAGTTATGTCAGGGACTATATTCAGGATGAAGGATACAGAATGAATTTATTCAGAGATTGAATCTCTGCCCTCCTGAAGTTTATAAACTGGTTAAAATACGTTTTTCAAGAAATTTCGGCTAGGTTTATATAGATGTGACTTTACCTTAATCTTAGTTTATGATGAACATATTGGGGATACTCTTGGTATTGATGAACATTTTTCATCCACAAAACACCATTTTTTCAATAGTTAAGACAGCCATCAATCAAAATAATAAGAGTACCCACTGATAGGTTAAAAACTGATATCATTGTTAAGGTTATTAGTCTTTAATTCCATTCTTCATATGAAAGCATTAGGTTAAATTCTAAAAAAATGCTAAGGAAAACACATATTGTGTTAATAAATTTTCTGCAAAATACAACAGGAAAATCTATAATTAGGAAAGAAGTATGTGGTACTACAGGAAGATCTATGTAGCCTTCTCATTTGGGGCTCACTAGTAGTTATACTTACTTTGAAGTTTCCTTGGGCAGTGTTCACAGGCTGGCCATCTTTCAACCACGTGAGGGATGGATTGGGAATGCCATTGGCTATGCACTGTAAGGTGATAGGCTTGTATTTCACTACGGCTCTCTCAGAAAGGCCTGAGGATTTGATTGTTGGAGGAACTAGATTTAAAAAAAAGAAGAAGAAAATAGGAAGGAAGAAAGGAAGGGAAGGAGGGAGGGAGGAAACAAAAACCATAATCAGTGGGGTCAGACACTTAAAAATCTGTGTGCAAAACCACCTGAAACTTTAAAAATGTAAACAAAGGGTGAAATAATTTTATCCCATGGACTTAATTTATATTTTAGGGAGTACTTATTTCTTAATTATAACTCTCTAATTCTCCAAAAACTGAGTAAAATATATTTGCAGCAGCTGCAATCCTATGTTTGTTTCCACCTTTTGGCGTGTCTTCCCAGTCTATTATGACCCTCCCTTCCTCACGAACTCTCTCAGTCAATCAGGTGAGGTTCCAGTGCCCAGATTTATAGTGCGTGACTCTGCCCCAGCCAGGCTGATTGAACCCAGGACGGTCACTTGATTTAAGCTGGCCCTGCCAGACCCCCTCCCCCGGAAACTGGAACTAAGACTGAGAAACAGGACGGCTATATTCCATCACAGGACTGAAAAAGCGGGGGGAAAAGTCTGCATAGACAGAGGGGAAAATGAACCTGACATTCATAGAAACCTCTGCGGTGGCTTCCAAATGGCTCTCCCGTTTCTCGTTCCAGTCCCTCCTTCCCAAGCTCTGCTGGCAGGAGAGACACATAATAACCTGGCAGAAAGCTGCTTCTGTCGCCACCTTAATGGTTTTAACACGATTGTGCCAGTTTTGTGAATGCACGTGCGTGCCCTGGATCCTGCATAACATCCTCAGCTTCCATTTCTGGAAATGACTCTATTCACACTCCCTCCTGTTTTGGCTAAACTCTCCCATGCTGACATAACCCTTTTACTTGGAATTTTCTGCCTACCCCTTTTATCTTACTTGGTCTACTTCCTCAGACCCTGGCATTCTATGCAGAACACACTTCCTGCCATTTAACTTCTGTCTACGCTCATTCACGTGGTATCTCTCGGGTAAGTCCCTGAGTTAATAAAGTGACTTAAAATCTACCTTTATTTAATTCAAATTCACATTCTTTCTTTTTTTAATCCTCACTTAAGGATATGTTTTCATTGATTTTAGAGAGAGAGGAGTGGGGGGGGAGAAACATCAATGTGAGAGAAAAACATAGATTGGTTGCCTCCCATACACAACCAACCAGGGATCGAACCTGCAACCTTTAGGTGGTATACGGGATGAAGCTCCAGCCAACTGAGGGCAAATTCACATTTTTAAAAAAGTGGTTTTTAGAGAGAGAGGAAGGGAGAGGGAGAGAGAAACAGCAATATGAGAGCAAAACATTGACTGGCTGCCTCCTGCATGCCTCCTACCAAGGATTGAGCCTGCAACTCAGGCATGAGCCTGACCAGGGATCGAACCAGCAGTCTTTCAGTGCATGGGACGATGCCTGACCAACTGAGCCACGTGGGCCAAGGCACACATTCACATTCTTTACATTACTTCCACACCTCAAGATTTATCCAGAGCTACAATTTGATAATTAGATAATGAAACAACACAAAAATTAATTTTAAATGTAATGCTCTTGCCCTTCTTCAGCCTACCATGAACAGTCACTTCAAACTCCTTCCTGTGGTCTCCAGCAGTGTTGGTTGCCACACACTGATAAAGGCCTGTATCTGACACTTGGGCCTGGGCAATGACCAGTTTGCGGCCATTCAGTAAAATCTTGAATCCATCCCTTTCATCGATTAGCTGGCCATCCTTCAGCCACCTATAGAAACAAGTCAAAAAGCAGTATGGATATATATTTTAAATAATTAAGTTCCTGGAATATATATGTATATCTTCATATATGTGTGTGTGTATGGGTGTGTGCGTGTGTGTGTGTGTGTGTGTGTGTGTCTTGGAGGAACTAAATTTATTTATATATTACATTTTTATACATATACATATATAAATTCTCAATTATGCACTTGCCTAATTTCCTATTTTATCATTTTATAAAATAAACTGTACATGGGGAAAGGAAAAAAAAGAACCCCGGTCTAACACAGAAGTTGGCATATTGTTGGAACCCAGTAACTATGTGTTGAATTCGTCATTTATCTATTAACGTTAAGTTACAAAACCAGGCAAATGTTCCTAAATATTATTCCCTTGAAACATTTAAATAATACTAACTAGCAAAATGAACACAATCCTAAAATATCTGTAAAATAAAACCCTGAAATTTTAGAGCATTATATTTTTTCCTTTCTTATAAGTTATTGCTTTCCATACAGTTTTATAATCATATGTCAACGTATTTTATTCCCTTAGTTGACGGTTCCTTAATTGCATATCCTATAGCACTTCAGAAATGAAAGATAAGCATTTAAGATATGCTTTGTGAAGGAAAAAATGAGAAAAAAGAATTGGTAAACATATATGCATGTTAACTATTTCCCTGATATGTCTGGTACATTTCTTTTTACTTAGTTGTTTATTAAACATTTCAGGGCCTGGGAAGAGTTAACAGATACTGCTTAATAGTCTGTTTCTATAAACTGAAACTGTAATTTCTAAGAGCATCAATGGAATTTCTCTAATTGAGCAGATTTAAGGACCCTGTAAGTATCAATTAAAAGCCACCTTGTCTATAGCGTGTGTCTTTTAAAAGAGAAATATAAAGATCGTAATCCTATACAACCACTGTTTAGTGACACAGGATCTCTTTCAAGATAGCTCTAAAACACTCAAAAAAGAAGTGGGAGGTATTTAATAGACATACCAAAACCCTTACATGATAGTTGGTGGGGGAGAGCCTGTCACTTGACAATCCAGCTCCAGTAAGTTATTAACCATCACTATGAAATAAGATGTTTCCTCTCCTCCTTCTATAGCTGGCGGCACTGGAAAACAACAGAGACGCGACATGCAGTAAAATGTTTACAAGAAAAAATACACCATCCGGATTTTCCTCAATTATCTAGCCCTATGGTGTTACTGACGTCACCTGAATATAAAGTTGATTCATATTTTATGTTGCTTATTTTCATAATAATAATAAGAGGGAACCTCAATAATTGGGCCTCTGTTCAAAAGCCTTCAATTTATAAAGAAGTCAGATTCGGGGTTCCAAGATGACCTCTGAAGACCCAGAGACAAAGTTTCCTGCTGTCTAGCATGGTGCTCAGGACAGAAGACCATGTTTTCCCTCACTGCAGTCAGATGTTATCATAGATGTAAAATGCACCTATGCACTTACAAACAAAGTATTCTATCAAAATCAGTGGAAGATTTATGTGAGATTTTAGATCTTGGGACTCTGGTGACAAATCCACCACTCAGTAATGTGCAGTCCAGAGATGAACAGAAAGCTAAACCTTCTCCAAGATTATTTTATTACTGCATGACCGAAAAAAAAAAAAAACAACTTTAATAAACAAGTCCGGTTTGGCTATGAATCTGAGAATCCAGATAGTGGCATCCTTACACACCTAAGACATCAACGTCATATTTTATTTCCTTTTCTCCTGCCACACTGGTAGCCACACACACATACTGGCCCCGATCGACTTCCAGGGCACTGGTGATTTCTAGTTTCTTCCCACCAGCTTCTATGCGGATATTGTCGCTGGCTTTCACGGGGACACTGTCCTTTAACCAGGTGAGGACTGGCGGAGGGTTGCCGCCAGCTTTGCACTCCAGCGTCAGTGAGTGAGCAAGGACCACTTGCTTATGCAGAGGTACAGCCGAGTCACCTTCAATCACTGGAGGAACTATGAGAAAAAAGTAATATTTCAGGCACTTCTTTGAATCGTAATGGAATAGGAATTCTAAATGCCCATCTCCACGTAGACAGCTAAGGAAAGAATTGCTTGGTTCAGTTAATCTACGACTATTCTAAATATCGTGGGCCACTCTCTACTGTGTCTGGCTTACGAAGGGCCAAATAGTGGGGAATGATCTTAGTCCTAATGACGAATTTACCTTCTGCATAAAAAACAAGTGGTATGGTAGCCCCAAGAGCCACGGGCAAGTGGTTGGCCCAATGAACGGACCGCTTCCTGCTCATGGTAGATTTTACAAATATTTTTCCAAATCATGGGACGAATTCTTCTAATTCCTACCCATGCATATTGAAAATGACCAGATCCAACAGGACTTTATTAGTGAACAAACTGGAAGTTGGCATATTAGAAACCATAGATAAAGGATGATTACAGCACCTATTTATTCCTTACCATAAACGTCCACGTGGAAGGACTTTTCAGCAGTTCCAGCAACATTGCTCACATGACACGTATACCTGGCTGAATCAGAGACCTGTGCTCGAGGGATATGAAGAAACTGCCCTTTATCAATATAAAGTGCTTGCGAGCTGGATATGATCGGCTGGCCATCCTTATACCACGTAACAGCTGGCACTGGAAGTCCCCGAGTTTCACACTCCAGCTTAATCATGCTGTTGATCAAAGCTGATATTTCCGTGGTGACATTCCCTCCTTTAATACTGGGTGGAACTACAAAGGATTTCAGGACAGAAACAAGTTTTCTAAGCTTTCCCATCTGCATAGAATCTTAAATGCTACAGATGTTTAAATAATGCATTCAAAGTAAATATAAAGACATCGAGGAAGTCCGTGATTTATCTACTGAGAGTTAATTGCCTGTTTTGTCTATTTTTTATCACCCTCCTTATGGGTTTCAGATAAAGCAGAAAGTCACAGCCTTAGTTTCAGGGGTTCATTCAAGTCCAATAGATCATATTACAGGACTAAGAACGTTACATTTAACGAACAAGCAAAACAAAACAAAACGCCACTTAAAGTAGATATAAAAATGTTTGAAATCAGGCCAAGGGAGCAAAAATGTCAGGTGTGGTACAACTTCATGCTCTGTCCCCAAGAAATACTAAAGGTCTAAAGTCCTTTCTGAACCAGCTGCTGGCAATAGCTGGGCAGTCTTCCACTTTTGCTTCTTAGTTTTGTTTTGTTTTGTTTTTTGGTTTTTTTTGAATTGCCAAGACTTCATTCACTGGACTTTACTCATCTAATTGGCTGCATGTGTATCTTCCACAATTCAGCAGCCACATGCCTGGCTTCTCACACCTGAGGACTCTGCTGTTGGAAAAACAACCCAAGTGGCTCAAAACTGCTGCATACTCTGAACATGCTCGCTCCAGGGTTGTGCTATAATTGCAACAGTTTAAAAGAAACCAAATGGCATGTGCCTAAGTTTAGTGCCTTCACATTATTTTATTATACTTTCAAATTTTAGAATAGGCTATTGTGAAATGTTTTTTCTTATGGTTAGACTAAGTCATGGGTTTTTGGGAGACGGATCACAGAGGAAAAGTCCCATTCTCGGTCTAGGGGACATACTATCAGCACATTTATTCCTGAAGGTGGAAACCTTGACAAGCAGGTCAGGGCTGTTTTGTCCAGTTTTTTTCCCCTTTTCTTTGGAAGAGAATCCCTCTCCCCAGCTCATACCTATGGGGTAGGAAGTGATATTCTATGTCCTTGAGAGGGGAATACCCATATAATTTATTTGGGATCTTCTAAATGGGAGATTTGTCTCTCCTCTCCAAGTTATTTATTTATCCAATCATGTCTTTATATCAATATGGACTCATGAAAATTTAATTTATATTCTGAGAAAGGTTAAAACACAGAATCGTTTGGGGGGTTCTGGATGGATGAATTCAATTGACATAATTTCTAATGAGGGGGGGAGAAACACGATTCGGTTTTCGAACAAATGGTTTCTTGAACAGCCTTCGGGACGAATTAAGTTCGAGAACTGAGCTTCCACTTTATTAAACACTCTTTCAGTTCCTTCCTTCTTTCACATTCCCCCCACCCCCATCCCCACCTTTATTTTTCCCTCCATCTCTTATTTTTCACTCTTCTCTTATCTCCATTTTCCCCCTTATTCAGGCACCATGTGCATTTCTGCCTTTGCGTGCAATGCGACAGAGAGTCACTGCTTTGGGTGGGAAGGTCCTGAGTGCCATTCACTATGGAAACACAGAAACTAGTGCAGTGAGTAGACCCACAATAAGCATGGCTGACCTACTGACTTCTTTTATTTTCTATTGTTTAATGCTTCATACCTGCCACATAAAGTTCAGACGCCTTCCTTACGGCTCTGTGAGTAAAAAGTAAAATGACTTTGACAGTGTTCCTCAGGGGATACCGAAAATTTTAGTGAAATGAGGGCTACATATCTCCGATAGGGATTCAGCCAGGAGAAAATAGCAAATAACACCACAAACATAAGGCATTTAAAATATTACAATGTGGTCAGGATAAAGGCCAAGATGAAGTGAAAAGAGTAATTGAGTTGTTTGTATACCATCAGCTTCATTCTATGTCATGCATCTTTGCTCTTTTTAGAGGGTCTTTTTTTAATCCCTTTAAGGATATAAACATTTGGTTTATGTATATACTAACCAAGTATGAAATACGTGACCTCTTAAGTGAGGTCATACAAAAACCACTAGACCACTTGAAAAAATCCATACTTACTGGTAAAATGCATTAAAATTGGATACAACATTCTAGCCTAAAACACATAAAGACAGACTTTCTTCTAAAGGAGGTAGAATTCCAAATTATTCAGTCTGAATAAAAGGACAGTTAACATTAGAGTAAAACCTGCTTTTCAATTTATACTGAGAACTGATACCAATAAAAAGCATAAGAAATCCCACTTACTATGGACAGTCAGCTTTATATCCTTGGCTTGCTTGCCAGCTGCATTAGACACAGCACACTGGTAGCGCCCCTTGTCACTTCTTCGTGTGTTCTTTAAATGCAACACTTGTCCTCTGTCTAGAAGTTCAATATTAGGATCTCCCAAAAATAAAGGCCTAGAAAAAATACAATTTTATTCCATGAGTCCATTTCTATTTTCCTATGTTTCCTCTCTTCCTAATCACAACAAAAATCATTAAGTCATATGAAGTTAAAAATCAAAGCTGAAATTTTTAGCATAAATTAAAAATATATATATATGATGTGATTAGTACTCCTACTCAGAACATTGAAATTATTAAACTACTTATCTAATGAAAGTGAGATAATTATCGCTTTAAGATGAAAAGTTTCTTCATTTCAAACTTACATTGTTAAATAATATTAATAGAAAACGGGCAGTGTCATTATCTGCTTCATTCACTCATCCCCTCCTCTTTTTCTTCTGGTCGTTGTGTTTTTGTTTTGTTTTGCTTTTACTTTGGGTTTGCACAGCCAAAATTTCTACCATCATTTAGAAAATAAGAACTAAAGAGTATAGGAGCTTCAGGTCAACCAGTATTATTTTTAAACCAATTATCACTATAATATCTGGAAAAGTATTCAGGCTAGAATGAATGGTTATTACTTACTAAACGCAATGACCACGCCAACTTTTCTAAAAAGTAGATATTATAGTAAATATGAATGGTTTTATAATCATAAATACTGAAAGATATTTATGACAAAAGCAGCTCATAAACAGTTATCTAGGAAGTTTTTTCTACTATAGAGAATCACTTACTGACTACAATGAAATGCTCACTTTTATATAACTGGCAGCAGCTTTATTTAATACTCAAAACATCATGGTTATTAAAGTCTATGCTATCCCAAGAGTCATCCCTTTAAAATCCATTGATCTTCTTTTAGGAATACTCATAGCTAGTTTTTTAAAAGTTGCAGTGAGTTAACCACATGATAAATAGTTAGAAGCATTGCTATATTAATAAGCCACTAGTCAGACTTCAAGATTAAATGGAAACACATTTAATTTTCTACAGTAGCATTTTTACTGTTTCTTGGTATGACATTCTGTATAAAGTTCTCCAAAGCTAGAATAAAAAATAAAATACCTTAGTTCAATGCATTTTAACTGTTTAAGGAAGTGAATGCTTGATACAGTTATTCAAATTCAAGTAACTTTAAAACTTTTACTGATTGTTAATTATGCAAGTAACATAATAATTTAAACAAGCAAAAAAGTAAGCATTATAATAAGAAAAGGCCTCCTTGGTTTATTCCCCCTCATGTGAGGCTTATCTCAAGACTTCTCACCATTATCAGTCTCACCTTTTTCTAAACATCTTCCCCCATCGATGTGTTTCTAAAGGAATCTAACGTTTTTTTATACATAAAGGGTATTGTGTTCTTGTTGTTTTTCACTGGACAATAGCTATGCAGATAGTTTTGGTACATATAGTGTGATCTTCCTCTTTTTAATTGCTGCACCGTGTTTCCTAATATGACCATGCCATGGGTTATCTACCCATTTTCCTAGTGTGGTGCTTTGGGCAGTTTTTGCTTTTCTGCAGTCACAGCGTTGCAGGGAATGTATCGCAAAGGCCTCCCTGTGGGCACCCAGGACCGCTTCCTGCTCCTAGATGCTGGAAGTGTAAGTGCCCCATGACAGCACAGGAGCATCCACATTTTAATAAATATCAACCGATTGCCTTTCATAGCACCAATTTCCATTCTCTCCAGCAGGATACTAGATCCTAGTTCCCCACACTCTAGCCAACACTTGATATTTTTCAAATGTTGCTTTTTTATTTTTGCCAATCTGACTTGTGAATAATAAAACTGTATGATTTTTGTTTACGTTCTCCAAGTTATTGAGGGTGAGCACCTTTTAATACATTTATTGCTTACCTAATATATTTTTAATTGGCTGTTCATACCCCTCCATACATTTTTCTACACTGTTGTTTGGCTTCTTGATCTTTAAAAAGTTTGCGTACAGTCCTTTATATCATACACTGCAAATTTTTACCCTTGGCTACTTAGGTCTTAGACACCTGCTGTCAGAAACTACACTAGTACATGAACTGTGACCATGCGGTGAGAAATGAACTCTCAGGAGCAAGACAAACCACGCAGTTACATCAGTGTGGACAACCCTCAGCAGCCCTTGAACTTGAAGTCTAAGAAACATCTGACTGCTCTTCCGTGGTTGTTCCTTTCTGCCTGTACAGAGAACTAGCTTAAGTATTCGCCTCACTGTCATAAACAAATTTGCTTTTTACATAATTCAAACAATTCCACATCAAAGCAAAATTAACCTCTGCATTTGGATGTTACATTTTCCATTTTTCATTCTTATCTTGTGGACAGGCTATTTAGTGCATAACAGACTTAAGTTCCTCTATGTTTCTCAAATAAAACCCCCAGCGATTATAAAGAGCCTTGTAAGTCATAAGCATGAAAGGTATTATGTATAAGACTTTGACACCACTTTGAGCAATACTGTTTTTTCTGTCATGTTCATTCAGTAATATTCCGTGAGGTAAAATAATGAAGAGAGAGAAAATCCACATGTGTTTACATATCTATTTCCTATCGCTTGGATCCTTGTAACAAATACAGAAAAGATACTCACTTGCCATCTTTGAACCAGTCAATCACTGGGAAGGGAGTGCCCTTGACCTGGCATTCAAGGCTGGTGTCGTGGTTGAGGACAACTGAGACTTCACTGGGGGAGTTGGCACCTATTATGGTGGGTGGGACTTGAACAAAGACATATTATCATGAAAATCTGTAACTTTGCAAAAAGAGCAGGGGGAAGATCAGATAACCAATGATTTCCCCAGTATTTCAACAAGATCTTACTGTTAAACATATCACAGAATAATCCCTTTTCATACCACATCTATGGAACCAAATGTTAAATTCAAGGGTAGGAATACATTCATGAGAGACTTGATAGCAGGACAATTCTTGGCAGTAGAGAACTCATTTTGAGGAGTATTAAACCCATGTACAAAAGGAGTTCAGAATATAAGTGAGTAGTGAATCTCATATGATACAATTTACTACTGCTCTACATTTCAGATAATCAATGACATAACCAAGGTCAATAGAGGAATGTTGAAATTCTGCATGTTACACCATAGTCTTGCTTGAAACATACTACCCTTGTCTCTTTTTCAGGACTCCTGCACTAAAATTGGATATGAGTATAGCGTTGACTATACACTACAGCTGTCTGGTCTTCATCCTCAGGGAAATGAAGGGTTTCATCTCCAGGCACCACAGGGTTTCAGGAGAGGAGGGGTGTGACCAGATTTGCATTTTAAGACCATGCAGACTACTGAATGGAGAGTGGATTCCTGTGGCAAAGACGGATGAAGGGGAGCAGTTAGGGGGCTATTATACGGTATTAATTCAGCTTACAAATGTTGACCACAACAGACATTCACTGAGAACATTCGGTTTACCATACCAGAGAAGAAAGCTGAGCTGGAGATAAAAGTCTGGGAGTCCTCAGCACACAGGTAGCATTGAAAGCAAATGAATGTGCCAAGAGAAATGATGCCAATGAGACCGGTGACAGAAAAGATGACTTAGTTTTTATAGCCTATACTTAAATATAATGATGGTAATTTGGGTACAGGAAATGCAAAGTACTTCAGGCTTTGAGTAGACTAATGAGAGAAATTAATTTTCTGTTATAACAGTTTTACATGGTAATTTTAATGCAGCATCATTCCTAGACCTACTTCCACCCCAGACTTACAAATCATGTGCCCATTTTGATGAGCAAAATATGGGAAAAAAGAGGAAGTCATTTTATCACTATGTAAACTCAAGTTGGTAAATATAATTTCACACACTAAAATTATAAAATTTTAAATTTATGATTACTGTTAAACAATTAAAAATGTTTTCTATCCCAGAATTCTCCCCCCTTAATTAGACTCAGAGCTGAGGTGATTTAGTTACAAAAATTAATTAGGATGCAGGGGAAGGTGCATTTTCTACCACCCAACTTCAAGTGCAATCAAGTAGCTGCAGGAGATGTCGACAGCATGAGTGGGTTTTACTCTGCCTCGTCCTACGCAGTTACTTCCCACAGGATTTCCTGCCCACCTAGCTGGAGAAATTGACAAGGATTATAATTTACTATTTTATGTATAAGATGGTACCAAATACCCACAGACTTCTCTGATAAGTAATAATACCTTTGAAATTTCCAGACACTATGGTTCTGTTCAACAAATATTAATGATGAAAATAATGATAGAGACATGAAGATATTCATCCTACCCATTTATTCTTCTCTTTACTCCTTCAGTCAGCTCTATCCTATGCAACAAATGCATCTGATCTGTGGTGTTTTTAAAAGACTGTTTTGTTTACCTAGCACATCGATGTTAAAATACTTCTGAGAGGTGCCTGCAACATTAATTGCCTTGCAGGAGTATCGTCCCGCATCCTTTGGAGTGGCTTTGAAGAGCTTCAGTATCTTCCCGTTGTTCACAATCTGAATGGTGCTGCTCTCAGTCACCTTTAAGGGCCAAAATGCTCAGTGTTATTTCCAATCCTAATGAGAATGCATAACCAAAAATCCAAGTAAAGTTCTTGTATTATTTTTAAGAAGAAAGTCACATCTGAACGATTCACTTCAGAGGCAAGAAATGAGGCATATCTGGAATCTCCTCTTACCTGGACATCATCTTTGTACCACATAATGATGGGAGATGGAATACCTTCGACTTCACAGAAGAGGTTGGTCAGCTGATTCACTAACACGGACACGTTTGTCACCTTTTCTTTATCTTTAATTACTGGAGGAACTGCAAAAAGAGAGGAGTCATGGCCAGGTAATTTTATAATAAATATCATTTATAAAGTTTCTCTGCACAGGCCTTTAGAAAGCAAATTCTGGTCTATCTGACAGTTAGCAAGGCTGGTCATATTTAGGCACGTGCCTTAATAGAAAATGAAGAGTCTCAGTCAATATATATTTGTAAGTAGTCCTTATTGAATTTTTACTTTATTATTTCAGCGTTTTGAACTGAGGATACACTTTAGGATAAATTTAAGGGAAAACCTATTTATTCCACATATCACTTAAAATACACATTGCTAGGGTCCTAATGAGGTCACATGGGCCTCACTACTGTCCTGACAGAAGTGAATATTGCCCAGGGTCTACGGAAGCCGATATCCATCACATTTTAAAAGGTACATCACTTTGACAAAATGACAAAAATACAAGAGTTTCATTGAAGTGTTACTTATAACAGGAAATAAACTGGTAATAACCTAAATGGTCATCATTAATAGAGGAAGGTTAAGTAAAAAATGGCATAGCCATAAAGTGGAATACTATGTAGGTATAAATAAGGGTTAGGAATATTGAACTAATCCCAAAGATAGATTTTTTAGTGATACAGACAAGTTGCAGAGTAATGAGGAGGAAATATTCATATTTCTTTGCATATGTGTAAGTATCTCTGGGGAGATACACCCACGTACATATAAAGCTAGTAACTTTCTTGGGCCCTTGGGAGGATTAGTAAATGGCTCAGCTCAGGGTCATGAAAATTTTGACTAAGTATCTCTTTCTACCATTTGAATTTTGAATGATATAGGTGAAGGGATTAAGCAAAGCAGAAACAAGCCTCACAGACACAGATAACACTATGGTGATTACCAGAGGGAAGGGGGCAGGTAAAGCAGGGAAAAGTGGTGATGGAAGGAGGCTTGACTTGGGGTGGTGAACACACAAGACCATATATAGATGATGTGTTGTAGAATTGTACACCTGAAACCTATGTAACTGTATTAACCAATGTCGCCACAACAACTTCAATTAAAAATTTTTTAAAATAATAAAGTTGCAATAAAAAATAACATGAAATTTTAATCAAATCACTCAATAAATACAATCAGGTCACCAGTTTTGTTTAATAACATTTCTATTCACATTAATATTAACTACTACTACACTGAGAATAACTTACATATAATCTGAAAATGTCACAGATTCAATTATGTGATTTTAGCATTTTCATCTGTATTTACCATGGACTTTGAGGTTATATTTTTTTTCCGTGGTCCCAGCTTCATTGACTGCCACACAGATGTACTCCCCATTGTCATACGGTGTAACGGCAGCAATAACCAACAACGTGCCATCGTCCAAGACAGAAACCCCAGGCTCTCTGCCTGTCAGCTCTCTGCCATTCCGTAACCATTTGATGGTTGGTCTGGGAGTACCTAAAAAGGGAATTAAAGCCTTGTGGTATTTTACAACAAAATTAGAAATCACTAGTAAATATCAGGTATACTGAGGAGAAATAAAATTTCTGTTACAACTATAATTTGTACCCTAATGTAGTCTGCTACTTTCAAGACATTTCTTCTGGCGTGGAATTTTGAAGAGATTATGGTATTTAGCACCTCTAATTCCTCTTTAGTCTTAAGGGACCTAAGATCTCTAGTGTAGAGTTTTATCAAAGCTATTTTAATCCAGGCATTCAGATGATAGTTAGCAAAGCAAAGCATTTTCCTGGGTGAGTTCATGGTGCTTAGTGGGAAAAGCTATATTACTCAAATAGACTAACTAGATATATGAGGAGTTTTTGGATGAAAATAAAGGAAGAGCGAAAATAAGATAGTATCACAGGAATAACCACAGCGACTGCCCAACCAAATAGACTGCATAAGTGATGTAATAAAATAACACTTTGTAATTCACATTTTAAATAGGCCTGATAGAGTAGAAGTGAGAAATATCTTCGGAAGATCTCATATTATTAAACCTAGGACTACAGAATAAATCTTGACTTTTTTTTCCTGAAAAGAAAGTTGAGAAACCAGTGAGCAGAATTAATATTCTGGATTTGTTTATATATGACCAACAGAGTGATGAGCTTGTGAATAAAGGTGATGAAACCATCCTAAGGGGCATAGTAGAGCCAAAAAGGACATACTGGGAAGAGACATTAACTTTGTCCTAGGAATGTATTTATTTAGCAAGCCGTGTGTCAGGCAGTATTGTAAGTACTTTAAAATTTACTTAATCCCTCTAAAGATAGAAAGAAAGCATATTTAGTAAAATTAATAATTATATAACACATTGTTAATAATTTTATATTCAAGATAATAAAATATTAAAGAATAGTCATATAATCAAAGACAAGTACAAAAGAATGTCAGGAAATAGACACATAATGTGTCAGTAAGGCTAAACTCAAATTGAGTGGAGGAATTATAACAGTGACTGTGAAAGTTATGAGAAAAATAAAACAAAAATAGGCCTATTTCATTGTGCTAATAAAACACGGACTGATCAGGAAGAGAAGGTAAAATTGATGGACTGCAGTCATCTATGTTGTCAAGGAAAAAAAAGATATAATTATTTCCTCATTTCTTTATATCCCACTCTTTCCATTATGAATTTCAATCAGACTTCTCAATTAATATTTGTTAAGAAAATGAAAAAATAAATGAACAAGCGAAGAAATAAGTTGCATTATCTTTAATTTATAAATGGTAGCACAACCATGGACAAAATGAAAGGCATTGCAAAAGATAACACAAAAGCACGGAGCTAGTTTAAATAAACTCACGCATTATATCCCAGGTGAAAATGGGGAACAGGGCAGAGGTGGTATTTCAAAGTGGAAAGGGGGAGTCCAAGCCAGCTCAGGAATCAGACCCAAGTGGAGAGCAAGGAGCAGAGGCGACCACTGTCCGGGGTCCAGCAGCAGTGAGTGCCCACAGTACCCACCTGAACCTAACCCCTTCTCTGAAGGTTCCCTCTCCAGGCTTTGCCTCCCCCCACCCAGTGGCTCTGGGAATATTTACTGATAATTCTTTTGCTATCTGAAAAGCTTGTGAAAGTTATCTTTTAATGCTGGTAGAAACAATCACTGGAGAGCTACTTTTGAGAGATGCAAAATCTTGCTACAGGAGGAGGCAGACATGAGGCCCTTCCACAGCTGCTGCCTCCAGGACAACTGCTAAGAGGCACATGCAGGGCACTAATAGTCCCAGTGCATCGAAGGCCCTACATTAAGGTCCTGAAAAGAAAACTGCTTGGACTTTGCCAGAACTGCTTGGAACCCTTCTGAGTCACTGCAGATGAATGCATAGGTGAACTAGAGGAGGTTCTTCACCACCTGCTGAGCACCCAGAGGAAGGTTAAGAGTGAGTGCCTCTCCCACATGCCCCAAGGAGAGAAAATAACAATCTCCTGCCAGGACACATGGTAATTAGAAAACCCAGAAATTCAAGGAGAGGAGCTGAAACAAGCCTGGCAGAACCAAGTTATAACCTGGCTCTGAAATTACCAGTAGAGGGTAAATCTAAGAAAAGAGGTTTTTTAAAAGAGAAGTATTCAGAACAAACAAGGGGATAGTCCTAATTTATATTTCTAACTGGGTGAGAGAAATGTGGAATATTTTGAATAGCCCTAGATGCCACATTTTAAACAGAAATATTGTCAAAACAGAATGAACTGAGGAGTTAAGGGAAAGAGCGTGAACTAAGTGGAAGACATACTAGACGAGGCAAGTCTGGAAGACTCGAAGGTCTCTCCATTGAAGGAAATAAAATACCTGAGAGGGAAAAACACTTATTCAAAGAGCTGTTATTTGAAAGAGGGATTAGTTTCTATTATGCTCAAGTATTATAACAAGGACTCACAAGTGGAGTTTTATGAATGGACGTTCCGGGTTCAGTGTAGAAGGAACAATATAACAGTATTACACCGATGCCCACATGTCTGAGTGTTACAAACCTTTTGCAGGACATGGAAATGCAATGCGCTGATTGGCCACTCTTTCTTGGAATGGAGTGTTATACGGAGGTTCCAGATCTTCCAGGGTAGGTGGTTCTATAAGAAAAATGGATGCATTATCATAGGCTTTCCTTGGCCAACATCAAACTCTCCTGAAGTATCATCAAACCATCTACATTGGTGAGTTGATGGCTTTCCTGATTCTTCTTTCAGATACAATTTGTATTTCTTCTAACTGCCGGACATTTTTACTTAGATGTGGCCCAGAGATCTGAAACTCCAAATGTTCCCACAAAAATTCATTATTTAATGCCTCCTACAATGCTGCCCTGTTTCCTTTATTCCTGCAGTGACGGCATCAGGCTCCAGCCAGTGTTTGTGCCTTTCTCCCTTACTCCCGACCTCCACATCCAATCAGTCACATAAAGCCACATGTTCCCATACCTGCGACTCCCCCGCTATCCTTAATGTCACTATTTATTTCAAACCCTTAAGAACCATTTCAGTAGGCTCCTTATTCGGGTCCTTTCCTCATGCACGTGCCCACTGGGATTCATATTCCTCAGACCCCTCAGAATACTCTCTCTGAGCCACAAGTCTCACCGTGTGGCTCACCTGATCAAAGTCGGTACTTTTATTCATTTTGTCTGTAGGATAAATTTGACACCTGTTCTTTCTTCAGGGAACCCTCTATGCATCTGAAGTCTCTGAACAGCCTCACTATCCATTGACTTCATGAATAAATTTGGGAGTCATTCCACGTCCTTCACTCCCCACATATAATGTCACCATTTCCTGTTGATTTCCTCTCCTAATTATTTTTTAGTCCATTCTATTCTTTCCCACAGTCCAACTACCATCATCTTTTGCCTGAACTACTTTTCCTCTCACCTTCTCCAGCTAAATCATTCTCTCCCCAGAGAGTGATCTTTTAAAATCTTGAGTCTGACACATCACTTTCCCAATAACAAGGTCTCTAAGCCTTTTCATTACACTTAAAGTCTGAAAACCTAGTCTGGGTTCCCAGATCTTGGATAATCTGGTTCATGATTATGTGTCCAGCTTTATCACATGCCACTCAGCATTCAGTCTGGAATGCAGCCATGTGGCTTTTATTGACTGAGCTATTTATCTATCCCAGTGTATCCAAAATGTCACATTCCCTCCTTCCACACTCTATGCTCTTCTCCCAAAGGCTTTCCCCATCCCATCCCACCACACCCTGCGTGTCACCTAACACACTTCTGTCCATTCTTCACATCTCAACTGGCATGCCCCTACCCTAAGGAAGGCTTCTTTGATTTAGCTTTGTGTTAAAAACTCAGATATTTCTACCATTTCAGGAAGGCACTAACCAGTTTGTAATTATGAGGTTATTTTATAATGTCCATCTCTCCCATTAAACCATAAACATAAGCACTCAAACTTTGCTGAGTGGATGAATGAGCCAGGGAAGCTCTTCAACAATGTCCTAGCCACCCATCCAAAAAGCACTGCAAAGTGCCAGGGACAAAGTACTAAGTATCAAGCTAAGTCCGACACCTACTTATCTTTCCTTCTTGCCTTCATACTGGTATTCTCCGGGACCAGGAATGTCCTTCCCCCTGATTTCCACATGGCTGGTCCCTCACCGTCAACAAGATCTTACCCTAAATATCACCTCCTCATCGGAGTCCTGCCTGACAATCCAACCTAAAGTAGCCAACTGCTGGGAGCATGACCCTATTTTAATTTTCCACCCAGCACTCCTCACGATCTGTATTTTTGTTTATTTATTTGCTCTCTGCTTACTCACAGTAGAACAGCTCATAAAAGCAGGTGCTTTGCCTTTGTCACTGCTTCCTCCTTACAGCCAAAAACATGACAGACACCTGGTAGGAGCTTGATAAATATTTGTAGCTTGGAGGAACAATTATTGATCTTTAAACCCTCTAAACAAGGCCAACATCATCACAAACCGTGGAACTAGATTTTCTAGGGATCGATATTGAGAGCACCCTACTAGTATGAGGCGAAATCCTACTCCAACTCGCTCTGCCCACAGTTTCTCCCAAATCAGTGACCTAGGACTGATTCCATCACCTACATCGTTCATCAATGGCAATTTCATTTTCAGAGGTAAACATAGAGAAATGGAGGCAGGTTTAGTAATAGTANTCTACATCGTTCATGGCAATTTCATTTTCAGAGGTAAACATAGAGAAATGGAGGCAGGTTTAATAATAGTATGGTTTCCTTTCTTTCTGGAATGGTTCTCCTTTCAAGTAAAGAGTCATAAAGGTTACACAGACATCTTCTGAAAGTGATCCCAGACCATCCAAGACTATAGACTTTGTGTGTAGACTCCAGGGGTTCTCTCCCACTCCCCACCCCGTCGTACCTACACCTCCCAGGCCCCGAATCACCTTGGACGTGGAGTGTGACCTCTGTTTCATCGCTGCCCGCTATGTTAGCAGCGACGCACGTGTAGGCTCCGGCATCCGAGAGCGTGGCTTGGGTGATGCTTAATGTTCCACCGGGATGACTAACAAGCTGGACCCCATCCACCAGCACGGCGCTTCCACCTCTAAACCAGGTGATCACAGGAAGAGGCGTCCCTTGAGCATTGCAGGGAAGGTCCCCTCTTTGACCAACTTGGACTTTCAGAAGTTTAGGGCCACGCTGTATCTTTGGAGGAACTGGAAACAACAACTGAGTATCAGTAATCCAATTTTTTAAAATGTCCTTCCTTTTCTCACCTTAAATGAGTGCTCCTTACCAAGAAGCAGCGTGACAAAGTGGAACAATCTCAGGATTCGGACCCAGGCTCAGGCCACTTACTAACTCTGTGTTCTAGGGCAAGTCAGTCAATTTCCTGAGGCCTGTTTGTTTCATAACCCAGGCAAAATAAGCTCTTCAACACCAGCACACTGCAAGGACTATGGCACATAATAAACAGAAAACTCCTCATTCTAAATCTGAGGAAGAGCAAGCACTTAAAAATGTTAGATTTCCTTTCATTTGTAAACAACTTAAAGTTTAAAACCTTCTTAAAAGGCAATCCAGATCATTTTTATAATATAAGAGACTAAACCAAAAAGCACCTCTCTCCATATACTCTTAGGTTTTGTTTTCTTTGTGGAAGCTTTGGCCAGACAGTAAGAAAAGGTTCCCATAAAAGCCTCTGCTAGTTTCAGAGAAGAAAAGCAAGATAAATTCTCTATTATTTCTCTTTACCTACCTTCCTTTAGGAATTTAAATGGGATAATGTATCAGAACACTGGCATGTATTATTGGGTTCTGCATGCATGCTGTATGTGCTATAGAATCAAAGTGACTCATAAGGATATAATTAGAATTTATAGACCTTATTCCCCCTAAATAAAACCATTTATCTGTCCTTTCTTTTAAACTTAATATTTAACCAATACTTTCTACAGGTCGTCACTAACAACCACCTTATAAGTTTGATAGTATTATTGCCATTATTTCATGAAGGAGAAAATGAAAGATAAGAGAGGTAAGGCAATATGCCTAGTGCCCTAGGACTAGCAAATGGAGAACTCTCATGGGATTTCAAACCCCATGACCACCAGGATGCTATTGTAGTGATTAATCTGAGAGTGAAATCAGGTCAATATTATCAGAAAATTTCTTCTATTTGAATGCTTGGCACCTACCCAAGGCCTGGCTTAGAGCATGTACTCGCTAAGTTTGCATTGGTTGAATGAATACCTGAACAGACTACAATAAACTGAGGGAAGAAAGCTGACTAATTAAAGAGTTTTAAAGTAGTTAAAAAATCCTAGGAAGCAGAATATTTTCAGTTGCTGAGTTCTTTTAATAGTAAAAATGGCCATTTAACTACTATTAAATTCTTCTTGAGAACTCACATTCATTTCTACAAAAAGCCACCATTCTAAACATATTTTTATTACTGTGTATCAAAAATAGTCATAAGTCACTGTGGACATCTAATAAAACTGAGATCCAAAGATTTAATACTGTTCATTTGAGGGAAAGGGGAGAGTTGTTTACAGACGGCAGATAAACTTTTCAGAGTCAATGAAAGAAAATCACATCTCGGATTTTAGAAAACTTTTCTCTAATTACTCTGTATACAATTTGGAGGTTATCTAGTAAAGAAACTGGGATGATGGAAGTCCCTGAGGCCAGTGACTTCGATGCCTTCATTTCTAAACTCACCGTGAACACTTAATTTAACGGACTGAGTCACGTTCCCAGCAATGTTTGTGGCAACGCAGAGATACATCCCACTGTCTGAAACTCGGGCCTCAGTGATCTTCATTGAGCCAGAAGGGAGGAACGTGTGTCTAAAAGAAAGAAACACATAATCGACAACAGAACATGGGAATTGAAATACTCCTTACGCCTCGTGGAATTACTATTCTGCAAGCAGGTTTTGAAACCATTTTCCCAGCTGTAATATCTTTTTATACACCTTAAAAGTCAGCTTAGTTTTATAATTATCTTGTGTATTCTGTATGATGTTCTTGCTAATACAAAATCAATTTATTTTTCCTTTAAAAATAACCTAACGGTCTGAAATCATCAAATAACTATACATCTCTGGTTTATCAAGTTGCAGGTATACAAAGCAAATGTATATTTTAGTAAATTTTGATATGTTTGAATACTTTATTGCTTTTCTACAAAGTTTTATTTAAAAATTTAGTGTGTTAAAATCAAGGCAAAAGGAAGTACATGTGTAATTCTCGAACATGTACTGAATATATTTCTACTATAGAACTACATGTAGTTGGTTGGATGAACCAGACCTACATATAAAAACTTTATTACATTAATTGTATTAAAAATAGCTTTGGGGTGGGGGGGCAAACAGACCTACTTAATATCAAGATTTCTTATAAAGTTAAGATAAATAAAGTGTGCTATTGGCACAGAGACAGGCAAATGAATAAACAGTAAAAGACAGAGATTTCCCCCCAAAAGAACTAAGCACATATGAGAACTCAACAAGTAATATGCAATATCAGAGGTGATATTACAAAAAGCAAGGAAAGGACTGACTATTCAAAAGTGGTGTTGGGTGGTGTTGGGTAACTGGCTCTCCACATGGGAAAATAAATAAGTAAAATTAGAGTACTACCCAATATAATGCACAACACAAAAATTCATATGAATCAAAGTCCAAAATGTGATAAGCAAAACTTAAAATATTGGAATAACTCTGTAGGCCATGCTTATGATCTTCACAAAGTACAAATCTCAATAACAATAGATGAATACGTTGAACTGCATAAAAATTTTAAATTCTGTACAAGCAGACACCATACATAAGTAAAGTTAAAAGCTTCACAGTGGACTGAGAGAAGATAATTTCAACACAGACAACAAACAAAGGAATGTTATTGAGAACAAAGACCAAATGTGTACATTCAACAAGAAAAAGACAAGTCACCGGAAAACTGCGTAATATGGAGTTAAAATAGTAATTGCTACCATTTCTGGAGAACCAGAGACAAGAAGTGTGGAATGTATTACCTTCAGGTAAGCATTAGCCGGATTTTATAAATAAATCTGAGGTTCAGAGAAGTCCAGTGGAAAAACTGCCAGAAGTCACAGGCAAGCTTTAGGTGGCAGAGGTAAACGTAAAGCCATGCCCACATGGCAACAAAGGTTGTGCTCTTAAAGGCTCCTGCATTCTGCCTACCATGTCACTTAGCTTATCAAATACACTCCCTAAGGGGGCATTTATTTGTACAAGGGTTTAATCGTGAAGATTTTTACAAAACCATTCCAACGAAAATCAAATCCTAGACACCAGACTATCTACTGTGTTTATTCCCTCGTGGGATTAATGGAATCTATGTAAAACAGGCACTTTGTGCTAACTTGAATCTCTGCACAAATATGCTCCATTTTGATAACCACTTGTAGGATGCACCTGTGAAAAATTATATCAAAGCTGAGTGTTAGCATTTCTGATACCAAAGAGTGATTTAGAAAGCACATCTATTTTCTATAGGCTCAAATGTACAAAGTTATTTTTTGAAACAACTGAAAAGAGGGATAGGTGCAACCTTCTACCCTGAGATATTGTTTCCGTGGGTTGCAATTCGTCCCAGGTGTCCTACCTTGGAGAGAATGGTGAGATGAGCTGGCTTTGCTTGGCCCAGGTAATTATGGGTGGAGGTGAGCTCTTCACTTCACATGGAAGGGTCACCTCCTCCCCAGCAAGGACAGAGATCTCCACGGGCTTATCCTGGGACAGTCCTCTTTGCTCTCCAAACACTCTGGGCCTTACTAAAATAAACGCATGTTTTAGGAGGGAAATAGTACATTGAAAACATTTAATTTACAATCAAATGTGGACTACAAACACTCTTAAATCATTTAGAAAAAGATGCTGTTTATCCCAAGGTATAGGGGCATATCTAAAACTTTCCATAAATATATGGCTTGTCAGAGCTGAAAGGAAAATGACTCGAAAGTTTCCCTTTTTAGCTATTCCTTATGAGACCACAGAGAGGTCAGCTGAGATGTCCTTTCAGAGTCTGCCATCTGAAAAAGGGACCCTGCAGGCAGAGTGTTAACCAAGTCACAGCTGAGGTCTAGCTTCGCCGGGAGTTAACTAACCTGTGCTTCTGAAGAGGGCTGGGTGCAATGAGCATACTCCTTGGGACAAAACCACAAAATGTTTCCAAAAGGCTGCACAATTACTCACCCTTTAAATCAGAATCTAAATAGAGGAGATGTTGGTTGGCAGTAAGAAATATAAACCTGGGGGAGCAGTTCACTTTGTGGGGATAGCCTTCTGGTAACATTATTCGGGACAGACTTGTGAGTTTTGGCCCAGAGACAGTATAGAAGAAAAACATTCCTCGGCAAACTCTCACCATAGACCGTCAGCTGCACTTTCCTTTTGGCGTAGCCGGCGGCATTGGTGGCGGTGCAGACATACTCCCCGCTCTCCTCGCCCCCAGGTGACACCACATACAGACTCCCGTCAGCCCCTGCGGAAAACTTAGCATTGCTGGTGGAAATGAGCTCGCCTTTCTGCAAAACAGGACCGAGAGCAAAGTGTTTTTAAGATAATAAAGAGTGACTTAATGTCTGGAAGGGGAAGAAAAAAATTCTCCAAGAGGAAAAAAATACCAGATTCAAAAAAACACGCCGATTTGAAGAAAGGTATTTGCAAGAAAGATTAAACAAATAAAGCAAAGGTGATAGTTCTTCATACCAAACTATGCCCCCTTCCTTCCAGACCTGCTGGAAAATGGAGAGGTAATGCCAACAGCAATGGATGGGGCTGGGCTTATGCTAAGCCAGGCACTGTTTTGAGCACCTCTCATCAATTAACTCGTTCAGGCTCACAACATCTTAGGAGTAGGAACTACCACAACCATTTTACAGCTAGGGGGCAGTGTGGAGTCGCAGGCGATGGGAGAGCTGGCACTGACCCCAGCAGTCAGGCTCTGGAGCCCAAATTCTGAACCTCTGGGCTTGATCACAGCACAAAGGCCAGCATGGAAAGAAGATTTCATTTTTATAGTTTCCTAAAAAAATGCCCTTAACTTCTCAGTACCAGACTCTGTGCAGTTTGGGGATCAGCTTCACCATTGTACGTTTGTGTCCAGATGCAGAAATATTAACTTTATTTTACTGAGGTCAACACCAACTTCTCTACCTTTCAGAGTGGGGTATTTTAGATGGATAACATTAGATGGTCTGACAAAATACTTTGTTGTAGCTAGTAACTATACAAAACACCACATTTCATTATCGTGCCATTATTTTATATTACTTTGTATCTGCCAGGTTGGAATTAATTTACAGAAAATATGCCATGTTCGTGGCTGTTTAAAGATGAAAAGGACTTCCTCAGGAAATGGGTTTTTCCTCATTGCAAGGATACAAGTAAAAGCCGTACAACTTCATGACGGGTACAGAGGGGGAATATATGGGTTCACATATGTGTCTTATTTTGGCTTCCAGCTAGAGCAGAGTCTGGGACAAAGATTTGGGGGCAGCAAGGTTATATGGGATGTGACCCCTAGAGGCTTGAGTGAGGCACAGAGAGAGGAAGGCTAATAAAGGGCTTCGCTGCTCTGGTTTCCTCTGTGGCTGGGCTGAGAAGCTTCAATATGCTGGGGACCCTCCAAGAAACTGTGCGGATGCACTTCAGAAGGACTCTTCTGAGGGATGAGAAATGAGGTGTTTATGTAGGACACCTGCCCCAGAGAGGAGTTAGTCTCCTTGCACTTCCTGGACACCTCTTAGCAGGCTGAGTGGACTTGTGGGCTTTGGACAAAGCCCTGAGCCCAAACACCAGAGAGGCGCCTGCATGAAGTGTGACCCCAGCAGAGTGCCCAGAGCTGCCCAGAGATGCGCTGAAATCAAAGGGCTTAGGGGATGTGGCAAGGAGCAAAAAGAGACCTGTGGCCACATGGGAAGTGCTTAGAAAGTTCCAGGGCATGTAGAAGGTGTTTTATTAGTGTTTCCTGTTGTGTTGTGAGTACCACTCAAGCACCAGGTAGGTGACTGCAATAAGGACATGTTAAGGTCCCCTCCAAGTGGTGTGTGGCTGCATGGGTTTTCCTTTTTCACAAGGTTTTATGATACAGTCGCAAGTTCCATGTACGACTAACAACAGTTAAACATTGTTAGAACACGTAACATTAACACACATCACTCGATGTGCCGTTTACCTTGGACCAGGTGATAGACGGTTTGGGAATGCCGCTCGCTTTGCAGGGCAGAGTTACTGGGATGCCTTCAATTGTACTGAGGATCTGCTGTCCATGCTGAATGGTTGGAAGAACTGAAAAAAGGAATATTCAGAATCTGAGCATCTGTCCTTCCATTCAGGCCCATAGCTTTAAAGTTAAACATTTTTAGGATATGATGAGTATTTGTAAAAAGTAGTGAAGACTCGAAAAAAAAAAAAGTAGTGAAGACTCGACATTTTCTGATAGAAATGTAGGGTAATTTGCAAAGGAGTGAATGTAATAGACCAAACAAATGCAATAGTTATGATCTGAAGAATTTAATAAAAGTTTAAAACCAAGTAATAAATTATGTATAATACGTTGACTTTTCTAACAAAAATAAGAGGACTGAAGAAAACCAATTTTTCCATGAAAAACTGATAGATAAAACTACATCCTAGGTGTTCTACACTGAAGACCTATCTTTCATCACTATTACCCATTAAGCTGCAGTGAGCTGACATAAGCCTATCTGCAGAGAAATGGGCTGTTTAAACGCTACACATTAAATGCCTGTCTGTACACAAGAATCACTTAGCGAGCTACTACATTTAACCTGGAAAAAATGACTTATTTACTTAATAGGAATTCAACAGTAAAATTTGAAAGGCCTTAAGAGTTTTCATTTAAAAGACTAAAATAAACGATTCTAAGTCAAGATTGTTAAGAACAACACACCTTTTGATTTTTTAGAAAGCAACTGAAGATTTAAGATGTGAGTAGAAGCAAATGGAAAAGGCAGAAAGTTCACCATTCCATTCTGTGTACATCTCCATCAGTCATAACCAACTTGTACACAAAAATGACCAATACTCAATGTTCTCAAAGTAATAAATTTGATTTTAAAATCTTCCATAGGTGAAAGTTCCTAACATCGTGCAAGAAACACAATAAAAAAACCCAATAATAGCAGGCATTTCCTTTCCTTCCCCTGGAAAGATGAAACTAGAGCTCAAACTCTCACTAAGTCACCTGCGTTTAAGTCGAATTTCTCTAGAATTATCATAGCTACTCTGGAGTAGAAGTTTATCAGATCAAGAGATACCAGAGACCTCAATGCAAAAACTTCCTTGGAAGGCTTAAATCAGCTTTGCTACATACTCATATTTTCCTAGGGCTGGGTTTATTCTTTAGATAATTTATTCCTAAAGAATTGGCAGCAAATCCCCAGCCTTAAACAAGAATGTCAGGCTACTCTCTAAAGCAAGAAATGGAAATTCCAGGATCATCATGGATTAGTCAACTTTCAACTATGCTGTCATTTTGCGGCCACATGGAATAAGCCATACTCTCAAATTCATATTGAGTTTGACAGCTATAAAGAAAAGTAGCAAATTCAGGCAACGGTTTTCAAATCTGATGTCATCTGAGTATGGAAGAGCTGTTTCTTTCCAGATTGTCAATCTATGTAAATCAACATGACAAGCAAATGGTGTATTTGTCATTTTAATTTGCACTTATATTTGCATTCATTAATTCATTCTTTTAAGAACTGATTGAGAGTCTTTAGTGAGTATTCTTAAAAGTGATGAAAGAGTGGCAATTCTTAATACAGAACCTGGGATGTTGCATCAAGTCCAACTCAAAGACAAATCTGTGGGTTAAGTGGATGCTTGGTTTAGTTCATGTCGAAAGGCTGAGCTGATGTTTCTTGAACCTTATTGACTAAATCAGTTACTCATTTTGGACTAATATGGCCTTTTAACTTTTAATTGTTAAAATTTATTGCATCATAATAAATTACATCATTGGTTTATCTGTCTTCTCCCTACTCTCCTGATCTGACATAGATCACAACTAACTGTGTTACTCTTTCACCCAAGGGAAAAGGTGCCTCAGAATCCTTCTCATCACCATATTCTACACTGTTAATAGAAGCCAAAGGGAGATGACATGAATGTACCTCTACACTGGATTCTTAAACCAGTCCATAAACACTTTCCAGGAAATGTATGAACTGATCTTCAAAAACAGTTCAACACAACTATATTCAATTTTCTCTCTCTATATATATATATATGTTTATTTAGACCATAACTAATTTAGTGTTACATCTGTATTTCTTCAAAATAATATTTCTTCAAGAATATCTCTTATGATAGTGGTGGAANCTCTCTATATATATATGTTTATTTAGACCATAACTAATTTAGTGTTACATCTGTATTTCTTCAAAATAATATTTCTTCAAGAATATCTCTTATGATAGTGGTGGAAATTGGTATAAGATTGAGAGAGGTGGAAGAGGCTATTTACAATGAGAAACACATATTTTAAAAAAGAGGGTCTATAGATGTCTAACTATTGCTGTATACCTGAAATTAATGTAATATTGAATGTCAATTGTAGTTAAATAAATTACTTAAAATAATTTTTTTAAATGATGACCATTTTAAAAGAAGATGGTCCACATCCACTGAAAATTTCAATAGACCAAGCGGAATTTGGAAATTACTGGATTCTCCAATTCATGTCTTAATAAAAGACTGAATTATCTACTAAAAATAAATGTTCTGTGCTACTTTCATCTCTGTACACAGAACTATTTTGTAATGCCACACTTTAAAAAAAAGCAATGTTGCAAAGTCTTTAAAGGGAATATACAAAAAAGTTTAGACAATATCTCAAACTATGAAGCTGTCACTTACTTATCGCGATGTAGAAGGTTGGTAACTGTTAGTCAGGAATGGAAACAGATAGCTTCTGGATTTTCTTCCTTGTGACTCTTAAGTTATTTAACATGCAAACAAGATTGTTTGGTGACCTTTAGAAAAGTTGAGGTCATTTCTAGCTAACACACAAAGGGGTCATTAGTAAGGACATGCTTATTTCGCAATCCAAAAAGAAAAGGCAATTTGGATTGTATAATAAATTCAGCTTGCCTGAAATTAAAATGTATTTTTAAACATAACTCTTTGAGAACTGAGTCCACTTTTATCAATTAAGAAACGACTCACAAAAGCCCTGGGCCAGACTCAGCAAGGCAAATCCCAATAATGCCTTTCTGTGTATACAGGAAAGGAAAGTCTGTAAACAGCCTGAACCATGTAAATATTGTTCAAGAAATAATGCTTTTTGTTAAGAATGACAATTAGGAAAGACATCTACTTCTTGTAACTAGAGGAACGGAGTCCTTTGACTTAGCTTTGAATGTGGTTTGGAAGGAATGACAATGGGTGTGTCTCTTACCATGCACATCCACAGTGGTCGTTTTGTTAATGGTTCCAGCAACATTACTGGCCACACAAGTGTATTCACCTCCATCCTGAAGGCGGACTCTTTCAATGTGGAGACTCCCATCACTGCGTACGGTGATGTAAGGATTTTGGACCAACTTAAAGAAAAAAAAGTCATTTAATTTAAAAAGGCCATGTGGCCAAAGCCAAAACTGAATCTGCTTTCTTTCAACTGGGTTATTAGATGTCTTATAAAATAACAAAATATTTTAACATCCTTAAGTGAAGAATTCTGAGCAAAAATGCTACCAAGGGTAGTACCAATTGTATGTCATCCTGATATACCACCAAAGATGATACCAACTAACAATGGGGAGAGTAGTGCACATGCTGGAAAAAGGAAAGAAACAGAGACGCACTTGCTTCTTGTTTCTGTAACTTTTATTAGTACTCAGCGCTCAAATTTCCTTGGTAATTTTTACTTTTGGATTAATTTGTTCTTTTGCAGGAAATCCTTCACTTACGAGCCATTTGACATTTTTATTTTGGCCAGTAGACACTTAGTCAAGCTGACAGAATGGACTTGCTCTCAACACCCACCCTTTTCAGTGACAGGTACAAATATCAGAGGGGAAAATGTGTCACAGAAGGCTGGCAATATTTTGTTGCCAGAACGGTCACCTCTAACTGTAGCATTTATGCACTTTGTTTAATCACAGGAAGCCTTAGTTCTCAAATAGTATCATCCTATGTTATAAGGGCATTTTTTATTGATAGGTGTACACATTTTTCTCAGGTTTGTATGCAAATATGAACAATTTTACAACTTAGTCCATGGACTCAATTCACTCTTTATTGGTACTTCAGGAAGAGAGTGAGTCCAACTGCTCTGGAAAATGGAGGAAAAAAATGCTGTGAAGTAGGTAAAAATTTATTGCCATAGATAGCATGGTTACAGAAAAACTGCACAGAAATAAGAAAATCTTTCACATCCTTTCAGAATTAAAAATCATACACTGAAAAACAGTGACACACACTAGATCCACATTTTAAAATAGTTCACAATAAAAGACATAACATTTGAAGTTAATTATAATGAATATATAAAATGGAAGAAGTTTTATGATTAACATTTCATTACATCTTGCAAAGAAGTACATAAAATATTTAAATGCTATGAAAAACTTCATACTTGTTTCAGTTTTTATGTAATCTGAAGAGCTTATTATATTAAATTTAATGCAAAATTATAAAAATTACACTACTGATTATTTCTCCATCTTATTAATTCCAAAGTCATATGAACTGCACAAACATGTTAATACTGAAGAAGAGTTTTGGTGCGCTTACAAAATATATTTTTGTATATTTATCAAATTGAAATTTCATGGTTGGGCTACATTACCTCTTACTCAAGAAAATTAGGAATGTGAATGTGTGAATTTAAAATGTTCTTACAGGGGAAGGGGGTGGGTAGAGGTGGAAGAGGGCATAGAGGGGATAAATGGTGATGGAAAAAATAATGAAATAAAGTAAAATAAAATAAAATAATGATTCTAAAATAATAATAAAAAAATGTTCTTACCATGGCTGAATTCTTAATCCACCGACGCTCTGGAATGGGATTTCCAGCCAATAGAGCACAAGGCAAAGTCAGCTGCTGTCCTTCGATTACACTGGTCACTGAAGGGCTGATTCCAATGAGTGGAGCAACTGAGAGAGAGAAAGCACAGGCACTAACAACTCCTTTTCACCCAAAGGAAGGCAACTCTTTTGTAGGCCAACATGCCTACTTGTGATATTTTTTTTAACGATTTTTCAGGAGTAAGATTTTTAAATGTAAATGGGTATGAATTGGAAAATACAGATAAAAGCCCCTTCTAAGCCTGGAGAATGGCAAGAGGACAGGTAATAACAGAGACAGAGAAAGTAAAAGAATACAGCTACGGCGTGGGAGGTGAGAAAGGTCAAGCCAAGAAATTCACAATGTATTCAACAGACAGGTGGACAGTGCCCGAAAGCATCTATAAACAGAAAAGAGGAATCATCAGAACCATCTTCAGGAAATACTAATCTGCTTCTATTTTGTTTGTTGTTTATTATGTCCATAAGAATCCACATATAAGTAGAATCATATGTTATTTGTCTTTCTCTGTGTGACATTTCACTTAGCATAATACTCTCCAGGTCGATCCATGCTGTCTCAAAAGGTAAGGTTTCCTTCTGAAAATCATGAAGAGAACTATTTGGGAAAGGGAAAAACTTATTAGAGAAGAGATGAGATTGGGGAGGAGACTGTAAAATGAGGAGGACTCCCTGAGATGGAATGGGAAAGAAGTATTGTGAAGATGTCCTTTTCTAGAAATCAGTGAATAAATCTGACATAAATCAAAGCAAATCCATGAGAAAGTCTACTTGGCAAACTTAAGTACATGTAGATGAAAAAAGGGAGATTCATAAAGAAAATTTTATGGAAGTGTATGGATGAGAACCATGCACTGACAGGTTAAAAAAATCACACCAAATGCTATAATTCAAACAATGTAGAGTTTGCACATAAAGTTCCAAGGAATAAATGTAGGGATACAAATTTAGCATGTGACCAAATGGGCATTTTAATCAGTGGGAAGATAATATTCAATAGAATATATTGAAACGAATGTCTCACTACTTGGAAGCCCACTATATTATATTCTTGCTTCATATCATACACAAATAATTCCATGTGAACTAAAATAATAAATGTAAAAAGGTAAACAAACAAGAACTCCACTACTCTAATATGTGTGTGCATGTGGATGTGTTTTCATATTTAGACTTAAATCAATTTATTTAAATTGACCTTCATTTCTTTAAATGGAAGATGAGGGGCTTGGTACAGATGACCTCTAAGATTATTTTCAGTTCTAACATCCTATGAACTATGAAACAGGGTGGGGAGGGAAGGTTAACCTAGCAATCAGCTATTTACCTGTTTGTCTAAGAAATAAAAGTAGTACAGGCAAGAGATGACGTAGTAAAAGAAGTCTGATGGTTTCGAAGAGTGTGGTGTCTAAGCAGTGAGTCGCTCTTACCAAGTCCTGTCACTGTTATTGTTGTCTGGGACTGGATCTTTCCAAACGGGTTTTCAGCTTCACAGATATAGGTTCCTTTATCACTTGCCCATAAGTCTAAAAATAAGAGATCATTTACTCACTCAACACCATCTCTGGAGCATTAATTATGTGCTGGGCATAGTGCTGAGAGCTATGGGTGGATACTATGATACTACCTTCTGGTAGTTCCCATTCTAGGGGAGGAGACAGACACAGCAGCCAACACTCACACCCAGTGCGATAAATCCTATCATGAGTTTCAAACAATGAGCTGCAGGAGCAGAGAGGGGAGTGACTGATGANGCTACCTTCTGGTAGTTCCCATTCTAGGGGAGGAGACGGACACAGCAGCCAACACTCACACCCAGTGCGATAAATCCTATCATATGAGTTTCAAACAATGAGCTGCAGGAGCAGAGAGGGGAGTGACTGATGATGGCATGTGGAGGAGGTAAGGAAGGCTTAATTTAACATAGGTGGTAACATCTCAGTTGTACCTTAAACTGCAGGTAAAGTAGAGGGAGGGCAGTCCAAACCCAATGGGCTGCAAAGGCAAAAGCCTGACTTGAAAAATCATGGTCCGTTCAAAGAATGGGAAGCTAAGCCACCTCCCTGGGGGCATTCTGGAAGTTTGCAGGGGAGATTTTTTTTTTAGTCGGTCTTCTGGCATTTAGTGGTCAAAAACTAGGGAACTGATGCTTGGAGTAGATTCACAAAAGGAACAACAATTATCCCAAGTCCAGCAAGACTTCTGAAGGTCCAACAGGAAACTCATGGATTTGAAGGCTTTGTTTATAATTATAGTATGAGCCTACAACCCAATTCTGTGTAAGCGGAAGGAAGAAAGTACTTTAGCAAGAATTATCCACCATTTTAGAAAATCACTTGACCAGCTTGGAGTTTCTTAGTCATCAATCCCATACTCCTATATCAGTCTACAGTTGAGCTGTCAAATTCATGGCGATGTGCATAAATGCGTATGCCTATTGAGTAAATGTTACCAGCGTATTCACAGAGTAATCTGAAACACCTATCATTCTAATAAATTACGTTCCTTTATTTTCCTCTGTGCTACATTTTGGGTACTAAAGTGATTTTTATTATGTAGACAGATCAAATAATATATGGAACTTTTCAGGATAATAAAAATACTACAAAATAAGTTTAGTTAAAAAGGGTGTTGGGGGACTAGGTGAGGACCACCGGATTATAGGTTGTGTGGAGACAGGAGACTGAACCTGAACAGGTAGCCTGGTGCCTTATAGAGAGAGTGGTTTTGACTTGTGAGCAATAGGGGAGGCAAGCGAAGATTTTAAATAGAGGAATGATCATCATCTTTGCAAATACCATGACTAAAATAAGCACAGCTTAATCTGTTGATAAGATGCTGACAGAGAAAAAGGAATCTTTCCATTATGAATAGATCCACACCCTTTCAGATACAGAGCAGGGACAAAGGTCCTCCTACTCTGTTAACCGTAAGCATATTAACTGCAGAACGGCATCTGGGAACCTCAGGCAGTGGCCACTCTCAACAATAGCAAACCTTCATTTGCAAAGGAAAATCCAGCAGATCACCTGCTAATACGTCATACATTGCTTCTAAGCAAGATATTTTTTATATTATCAACTCTTGGACTGATTTGTGCAAAAATACAGCATACTACTGAGAACTAAGTTTCTAATCACTAGTTTCCTTCTAGATGATTTAATTTGGACAACTGGGAAATTATTGGTCAATACATTGCCCTCACTTATTCTTCCTTTTCTTTCACCTCCTCTAATTGATTTGTTTACAGGTCTAATTGTTTCCCTCTGGGATGCTTCTCAACCCACCATCACCCTACCTGTATAACTATGTGGGCCTCCCCATTCTTCCCTCCCTCTCATCTCTACCCGTCCTGCAGAGGAGTTGTTCTGAAATAGTATTTTCACCTGCCTTTTCCTGCCGATGAATATTGAGGGGCTCTCTTTGCAATCTCATTAAATGCATTTATTCGCCTGCACATTTGAGGTCCTGCACAATGTGACCCAATCCAACCCATATTTCCCAGTAGGTACTTCTGGGGCCATCCACTCAGATGGTGGATTGTAAAATGCCTACCTTAGGGAGCTTATACTTGACTTCTGCCTTCACCACAGAGCCTAGTCCAGAGCTGAACACTTAAACACTTGCAATTAGACAGTTGTACTTGTATTTGAAAGTTTAAGTGGCTAATGTACATTTAATATTGTTACTAAACCTGGGAATCAGTTGTTGGAGGCTTGATACAGAATACTCCAAACATGCAATTACTTTTTAAAAAACCAATTCATTATCTAAATGTTGTTACTCCTCTGGGGCCACTATCCAAATATTCTGAACATTATTTTAGAAAGTACAAAGTGTTTATAAATATCAGAATGCTTAATAGTTCACAGATGAATTTTTTGGATGATGGAGTACTTGATATTTTATTTTAATCTTTTGCTCCAGATAGATTCATTTATGACAATTCCTAATAAGAATCCAATACTGGTTTAAAGTAACATGCAACAAACACCAAATGTGATGGCAAGATTAACTCACTATTTCAAACATAGCAACGCCTATGCATAAAACATGAATGTATAGTCTATATGTAGATACATCTACATACTTGAATAAAAATATATTTCCTTTAACCTACTTGAAATAAACAGAGCTCCTGTTCTTAGCTGGCTGATGGAACTCACTGAAAAGGGTCTTGAGAAGATGGGCATGTTGTCTAATCTTTGCCATTTAATCTTTGGTTCTGGGTAGCCCTGGACGTAGCAAGGTAATGTCACATTCGAACCAATTTCCATAGACACATCAGCAGGTTCTTGTATGAAAACTGGAGGTGCTAGAAGGTATTTAAAACAGCAACAACAGCAACAAAGGTCATTGGCATAGTACATAGGTATACATTAAATAGAAAATTATTAAACTATCAACAGATCAAATGTGAATCAAACCATTTTTCATATATTATAAATTTACCATTTTAGTATCCTGTCTGCCATTGAAATAGCAGACATTTCTTTTCCCTTTTTTCACTGAAGAGGCCCAAAAAACTTCAACTATCTGTTTCAAGTGATGATGAACAGTGAAAATTTAAATCAAAATTACTTTAAATAGAACCTTTCATTTTAGAAATCTGTTTTCAATTTTAGTTTATGTCATACACTGCTCAAACCTTTAAGCTTTCTTATAAATAAGTTTGCCTTGTAATGAAATATTTTTTACCCTTTCCAAAACTTACTTTTAGTCAAAATTTTAAATGAACTTAATTTATAGCAGAGTTCATTCTTCAACAGATCATTACACAACAAGCTGAAAGTATCTAATCCCAAATTAAATCCATTCTATATCACATCCTTACTTGTCAATGCTTCATTTTTTCGTATTTTTGGGTTAAAGACATTTAACCTTGAGAATTAATAATACAAATTAAAGTAACAGATTATGGTATTTGATTAAAAAAAATGAGTGCTTAAAATCTTAGAGTTAAGTGGGGATTCAGAAATTATAAAATTATAGATAATAAGACTATAATTATCCACAAAATTCAGGTAACCACAGAAGCCTGGAGCAAGAATTGGAAATATGTCAGGGACACCTTGGAAACCACCAGAATGTAAGACAGGGACGATGCTGTCATCAAGCCCAAATAGATGAGGCTCTCAGTATGTCCTCCAGAGCTTATGAGTAATGATGTCTGAGGCACCAGGCAAGGAGAAATATATACAATACTGTGATACTACTGGAGGTAACTCAGGAAACCTGATCATGCAGGACTCTAGGAGGGCGTATCAAGGAGAGGTTCTTCTCCTTTATAATGTCAAGATTAAACAAAAGGAATTACAACTACTTTTACTCACAGAGCCAGGGACGGGTGTTACTTGATTTCCATTACTTATTATTCTAATTTATAGGTGAAGAAACTGAGGCACAGATAGTTAACTTGCTAAGTGTCACATGGAGTTGAGCACTGGAGCTAGGATTGAAAACCAGGTTGATCCAACTTCAGAGTCACGAGGCTTTGTCATTCGATCAGCCTCCCCTTTTCTACTGGTTCTTAAAACTGCCCACAGTTCAGCTGTTTATCGGGCCAGTAAAAATGGGTACAGAGATCACATCTTTCCTTCTGGGAATTCGGAGACTCGGATGTACACGTGTCTTCCGAGCAGCATTAGTTCTTCATTGGCCTGGGATAAAGAACCTCCCATAACTTCACAGCCTCATCTCCCATGAGGTCCCTACACAAACCCTATTCTCAGGACCCTTCTCTGAACAGGGACTGACCTTCCCCAGGGGCCATCCCTTTCACAGGCAATGTCTGCTGTTCATCTTGCCTCTTGAAATACTGACAGTTATTTAACCCAGTTCAAAAGGCCCCTCCTCAGTGCCATTTCTTACCATCCAAATGAGTATGATTTCTTTCCTCTTGAGGTTTCAGAGAACCCACTCTCATGGCAACGGCCATATTCACCCTTTTATTGGACTATACGTTTGATTTTTTTCCCTAGAGGGTTCATTTTTGCAACCATATTTTTACCTTTCAAAGCAACGAACACAGTACTTTGTGCACTATACATGGCTGCCAGATTTTTGTCAGTGATTCAATCAATATTAAAACGCTTTACCAAGAACTGTGTGTGTCCATGTGTGTGCATATGATGATGATAACCACCTTGATCCGGTGCATTTTAACTTGCATTTTTCCCAAAAATGGCAATTTTAGAAACCCTATTTCTTTACAAAACCTAAATAAAATAAAGTTGTTAAATACCACAATTGAGCAATGTGTTTTTTATTTGTTTGTTTGTTTTAATATATCTTTATTGATTTCAGAGAGAGGAAGGGAGAGGGAGAGAGAGACAGATAGAAACATCAATGATGAGAGAGTCATGGATCGGCTGCCTCCTGTACGCCCCTTGTTGGGGATCGAGCCGGGAACCCGGGAACCCGGGCATGTGCCCTGACTGGGAATCGAACTGTGATCTCGTGGATCCCAGGTGGATGCTCAGACACTGAGCCATGCCCAGCCGGGCAGCAATGTGTTTTTAAAAAGAAGTAGTGTATCGGTTTAGATTTTTCTTAATCCATCTACAAGAGAATTTGGCTTACGAAACTAATAGGCAAAATAAACATACTTTTTAAATAGTTTCTAAAATAACTCATTGTTTGCTCATTCTAGGTGGACAAGGCCTAGTTACTTTTCTCTGGAGAGACAGTAGTCATTTACTCCAGAGCTGGTTGCTTTTCTGAAAAACAGAAGTTAAATGGAACAGTCTCAGGATGTGTTAGGCTCGGAGTGGGGGTAGGTGAATGTGGAGATGGGACAGAAAATAAATTCCAGAAGAGCAAAGGATATGTAGAAGCCTGGGATCAACCAAGTACTTGGGAGGGAACCAAGCTTACTGACACAATAGAACAGAGCCATGAGTGCAAATGAAGACAAACGAGAATTTTCAGAACTAAGAATGCCAAGAACAAACTGGAATATAAATGAGTAAGTGAAACTCAAGTCGTGCCCATAAAACTCAATTAAAGACAGGAGAAGTCATCTGGGGAGAAGGAGCTTCAGGAACAGTGTCAGGTACAAGACAAGCTCTCAGTCAGAGAGTAAGAGATTGGTAGCAGAAAACAAGGCAAATGAAAGTACCAGGCCCAGGCTGGGTAAGCAGCCAAGACAGCATCCATGACATGAACCTCAAACATTAAACAACTCCGACCTCAGGCCAAGCAGCCTCCTAAATACTTCCTACTCCCGAGTGTGGCCAATTCGGACTCCAAGTGAATTATATTGGGTGGATGGTAAACAGATTAAGAGACTGGGGGGGAAGGGTGCAGAAGTGATTATAGTACAAGATACTGAGCTTGTACAGAGGAGGCTGTGCTGCTTAGAGAAGTTACAGCCCACTCGGTGGTTTCAAATGGCAGTTCCACTATTTAAGTCTGTAAACTTGGAAGATGATTTTACCTCCCCCAGTCTAAATTTCCCCATGAACAAAAGGGGATAACAACATTTCTTATTTTGTGTTGTTAAAAGAGAGAATGTGAAGTAATCATTTAACAAGTAGTCATCACCCAAATAGTAATAATCACTGATCATAAATATTGTAGAGTTAATTTATTAAACCACAGTTCTGGAGTGTCTGTAATTGTTCATTTCAATTTTGGCCACTGCAGATAGTCTGTCAGAATTACGTTGAATCCTCTGTGATCCCCTAAATATTTGTGTATAGGTTCTTTGACAACTGCTCAGGGTTAATGCACATAGAGCTTTGTCATTTACTAATAGGTATTTCTGTACCTATCAGTACACATTCCTGTGAAAATATCAAAGTTATAAACAGAATGACCGTCTTGCTCTAAAACTTATTCCATAAAATGATTCTTGTTCTTTTAGTGATAATTAATCTCCGTTAAGGCAACTCTTGCATTAAATTAGTCAAACAGAGATTTTTCTTTCCGAACATGGCTGAACACACTGTTTTGTTTCTACCAAACCACAAAACATGAAACCACCGTCTACAACTCAAACCCCGTGTGGTGTGGAATGCTGCAAATAAAATCATTGCCAGGCCAACTTTTTGTTTGATGTGGCCAATCTTCTCTTCTTCCAAATGACTTCACAACCCACTGCCTCTTTTTCAAACGGATGAAAAGCACTGGTAACTTTCCCCGTTGACCTGAAATGTCCACAACTTAAAGCCATCATAATGAGAAATACAAAGAAAGAGACTCACTGCAAGAAGCTACAACTCAAAAATTACATTACAGTCTTTTTATAATAACATAAAATAAAAATGTTTGATTGAGTATAGTTGATGTGAAGTAATAAGCCCACAAAAACAATCTGCAAATCCAGTTAACATGATATGGATAAAAAGCATGTTTTTCTTCTTAAGTCATAATCTACTTAGATTTATGCCCAATAGTTCTGGAACGCATATGAATAATTTTATGCACTACTAATAGCAGTACTTAACTTGTCTTAAGACTTTAAAAAAAATTAGTGGAAACAAACAATGACTTTCATATTAAGAGCCCAATGCTTAATTTTCAATACTATGCCACTATTATATATGCATTTCTATATTATTTTCCAAGACTCAAAGAATCAAAATGACCAATCGGTTTGTGAAGTTAATATTCACCTATTGCTCCATGTCCCATTAAGCAGCTTCAAAGAACAGCAGTAACCAATGACATGCTAAATGCACATGGGCAATGCTGTCTCATTTCATCTTTACAACCAACCCATCAGGTAGGTCCTATTAAATGCCATGCGGAAAACCAGTTTCTCTCCACTGCCCATCCTCTTAACCACTACGTAACATTCTGGGAAAAGTTTGGGGTTTTTTTGTTTGCTTGCTTTTAAACCTAATAGTGATAACCACAACCATCCCCACAACTGTAATTTGTACAGATCCTGGCAGTTACATCCTGTATCTCCTAGGACATGGAACAGTAGTGTTATGTGGATTATCAAACTTCGTAAGCTACAAGGATCAGGACTTCGACGGTGAATGAGGGAATAATTAAGGCATGACAGAGACATGGCACTGACTGTAATATTACTTGACAATTGTTAACAATGGTCAAGGTTACAGTGAGTAAACAACTGAGTTTATGTGAATGGTTTCAAAAATCAGAGCAGTTTCTGGAATAATAGTTGAGAAAGGCCTTGTTTTAGAAAAGATCAGCTTGAATATAAGTGAAGATAAAACAAAATTCCATTTAAGGAAGAAAGGACGTTTCCTAATCCAATGCAAGTCACTCCAGCACAGACAGCCTTAATCCTTATATGGTTTATCGCTAGTCACAGGAGAGAACCTGGAAACTCCAGAAGCTAAAAAGATTATCAAGAAGGCAGTAAGTAAGCAAAGGAACATGTGTTCGGTGTTTATTTTTCTATCTTGGAGGAGGAATGAGAGTGTCGTTCCCTTTTTTGCTGGGAACGATTACTGAGGCTCCTTCCCTCTCCCTCTAGAGCCAGGTAACTCTCAAGGACGTTGCGCGCCAGGAGGGAGAAGCATGTAGGTTGAGAACCGAAAGGCACTATGCAGATTCCTTGACAACAAGAATCTGTACTTACTGACCTTCTTCTTTTGGACCTTACATTTCTTTTCTTTTCAAAAAAAATTTTTATTGATTTTTTGAGAGAGAGAGGAAGGGAAAGAGAAAGAGAAACATCAACGTGACAGTGGGACACCCATGGACTGGCTGCCTCCTACACACCCGCCCCCTACTGGGGATCGAGCCTGCAACCTGGGCATGTGTCCTGACGGGAATAGAACCTTTGGTGCACATGATGACACACAACCAACTGAGCCACACCGCCAGGGCTGGACCTTACATTCTAAGCGTTACTTGTGTTTCACACTCTGCTGATAGATTCAATACTCTCCACCCAGGATTCTAATCTCATTTCTAAAGCACTTCTCTTAATGACCACAGAGTTCCTTCATGGTTGCAACACATCTTGCTATGTCCTAGGCAGACCCTGCAGTGGTCTTTGTGGACATTTCCAGCTTTGTTGATTCTACTCCAAGAGCATAAACACCAAGAAGGCAGAGCGTCCACCAGACAACCTAGGGACAAAGGGGGCCATAAAAGATCCCAGGAGGAAAACATTTTAGTTTATATGAAACAAAATATTAAGCTTAGAGGGTCATGATTTTTACTTAAAGACTTAGAGAGTAGAATTACAATGTTTTATGTTATTTTATCCTAAAAAATGCATTTTCTTTACAGTTCCTAACTTTTGCTTAAAAAAATAAAAACAGCTTTGGCATGAAAATCATCATACATATGCCCAGCCAGGCATGGCTCAGTGGTTGAGCAATGACCTAGGATCCAGGAGATTGCAGTTCAATACCCGGTTAGGGCATGTGCCCGGGTTGCAGGTTCCATCCCCAGTCAGGGGGGTGCAGGAGGCAGCCGATCAATGACTCTCTCATCATTGATGTTTCTCTCTCTCTGTTTCTCTCCCTTCTTCTGAAATCAATAGGAAGGAAGGAAGGAAGGAAGGAAGGAGGGAAGGAGGGAAGGAGGGAAGGAAGGAAGGAAATCATACATAAATGGAAGTAAAACTTAACGAATGTCATGTTTTATAAGTTTAAGTGATGCAAAAGTTTGAATTATCTCTTAAAATGAAGCTGCCAGGTTCTTTTTCATAAAAGCAAGCTCTGTTTCATTTCAAGTGTTACCATACTGTGTAGAACTCCCCCCTCCCCCCCCCAAGAAACGTGATATGGAGAGACAAAGGAGGGAGAACCGAACTTCTTGCGTAATCCGACCATACCTGTCATGTGCGTGCTGTATCCTTCACATTGTGATTGACGTTTATTTGTAGTTAGTACTTTATTTCATACACAGAGGAGTCATTGCTGGTGAATTTTTTAAAAAAGTAAAAGCACCATCTGCTACCTTTGCTGTCATCAACATCTCCAAATTACATCTACGGCCAAGGTCTAATTTATGGCCTCCAGATGTTATTACTTAGAAATTTGGTGTCAGAATGAATGATTCTGGATTGGAAAATATTTGGCAATAGATGATATACCAAGTAAGTCTACAGTCTGAAGTCAGACAACCTGGGTTCAAACATTCAGGCTCTGCCCCTCCATAGCTCTGTAACCCTGGTCAAGTTGCTTAGCTTATTTAAACCTCTATTTCCTTTTTAGATAATGCAGATAGTTATAGTATCTTCCCCTTAAAATTGTTATGAACATTTAAGGAGATAGCACATATACAAGTTCTTAGCACAGTGCATGGCCCACAGAAAGCACTTGGTAAATGCTAACTACCATTATTATAGTAATAACCTTAAATGCTAACTCTAATTTTGCCTTTCTGAAAAATACTTCCAGCCAATTGTTTCAAAGTTATGAACACAGAAAAAAACAGCAGATCAGTTTTAAAATAAATGTGTCTATCAGACCGGGGATGCTTACAGCCAACATCCAGAGTTATCTTGCCAGTTGCTCTTCCAGCGTCATTGACAGCTACACACGTATAATCACCAGCATCGAGGTCCTGAGTTTCTGGAATCTTCAACAGTCCCAAGAAAGGATCAATAATGAGAAAAGTTGAGGGCCTCAGCTCAAGGTCCCCTAAGTCAAAACAAAGGAGAGAACATTAAACACTGAAGTAATTACATAGTTTGCTATTGGTCTGATTTCAAAGCTTCTAAGGAAAACTGATTGTAAAATTTTAAATACAAGTGTCTGGCACAATGTAGACACTTAAACAACGTTTTTGCAATGAAAGAATGAAGTGTTTCTTGGCACTGAGCTGATTAGTCTATATAATTCTATGGGCTAACCTATGGCCAAAAATCTGGTCCTACATGAATTATGTACAAGTATTTCCTACTGCATAGGTAACCTAAATAAGAACGAAGCCTTTGAAGCTACACTGGGGAACTTGGAAAGGATACCGGCTGTCACCACGGCTGTGTGAAATGAGAAGGGAATGGGGAATGGGGAGATGAAGGTTGAAAAGAGATTTCTACTATCTCTGTGGCAGGATGAATTCCAGTCACCCAGGAAATGCTTAGGAGACCATAGGTGTTCTTAGTTTGCTTGATGAATGACCACGTTTTGATTTGCTACATGCTATTAGTTAGATGGTGTATAACTGTCTGAAAGGACCCTGAGGATGTCTGAGGAAAAAGGAACCAGAGAGCTAAGGG